AATGGGGACGAGTCTTTACAGATGAGAGCAGATTCAGTCTGAGTAGCGATTCTCATCGCATACTCATCTGGAGAGAGCGGGGAAGCCACAATCATCCCTCGAACATCATTGAAAGGGACAGGTATGGAGGTGCCGGTGTTCTCGTTTGGGGAGGCATCATGCTTGGTAGTCCTACAGACCTTCACATCTTCGACGCAGGTTCAGTCAACGGGACCCGTTATTGCAACAAGATTCTTCTTCCATATGTGCGTCTTTTTAGAGGCGCTATGGGTCCGCAGTTCCTTTTCATGGACGACAATGCACCATGTCATTGCACAGTAGCTGCCGAACAGCTCTTAGAGAGTGAGGATATTGAACGTATGGATTGGCCGGCACGATCTCCGGATCTCAATCTATTTGAGCATGTATGGGATTTTCTAGGCAGACGCTTGGCAGCTCGTATCTTACCACCAGTAACGATTCCGGAGTTTCGATTGGCGCTGCAAGACGAATGGGCAGCAATGCCTCAACAACTCATTGACACCCTCATTCTCAGCATGGGCAGATGCTGTGAGACCTGCCTAGCAGTCAGATGAGATCATATCCCCTATTAAAGACCAGATGTTTCTTGCTGGACACCCATCACAGGGATGTTTCGGCCTTCAGTCGCATTGCGCTCCATGCTACTTTTTCAATAAAGCTTCTTTTTATCCCTCTGATTTCTCTTTTAGTAAGTGTTGCTTACATTACTCATGTCCTTATGTATTGGGGATGTTACGGTATTAAATGTGTTGATTTGGAAAGCTTTTGTACAAAGTTATATTGACCGTCTCGTCCTTAATTTTTGCACACCAGTGTAGTTCTGATCTGAATCCCAGTGAAAACTGCTGGCAAGTAATGGGTAAAAAAATTGCTGTTAAGAAGCCTGTTACTAAAGGAAGCGATTTTCTCGGCCAACTTTCTAGTAGAGCAACAATTTTAAAGATCTGTGCATGCACCAAAAATCGGTCATGTTCTCTGCCGTGATTTCAGAACTGGTGTTCACTTCTCACTAGCGCACGATAAAATCGGAGTCTCTAGTCGATAAGTTTGCTTTGAATGATCACGTGCTTTTCTCCTCATTTGTAATAATAAACATGGCTGCATTTCATTGGAGCGAAACTCACATTTTTCAACTAATAGATTTCTAGAGAGAAAATGTTGTGTTGTGGGACACGAGTTATGTAAATTTTAAAAATAAAAAATTAAGGGATTCTCTTATTTTGGTAAGCTTTGTCTTCCCCATTACTTTATATATTCAAATATTTTCTATTCGGGGTGAAAATTATTTTAACTTCCCGAAGAAATGTTCCAAAATCTGTTAATGACGCAATGTCATGGGTACTAGATGAAAATATTCAGAAACTGCTTGAAACTGTGGTCGCACTTATTGAAAAAATTCAGAAAGCAAAATCTCCAGTCGAGAAATTACGGGCCGATTTAAATCAAAAATTTAAAGCAGTGCAGAGACTCATTGACTTTGCCGAAAATGGGAGTTAATCAGGTGACGAAGTACATAGCTTTTCCGACACCTTCTACACAAGCGATCATAGCTCAGTAATCAAGAACAGAGCAGATTTTCTCCACACATCGAGATCGTGGGTTCAATCCCCCACCTTAATTTTGGACTTTCTGCACCAGCAAGAACTCTTTATTTCTTTTCTCCATTACTAAATTCGAACTCCATGGCTTAAAAGTCACTTTTTATTTTTTCGCCTACGGGCGTGGTGTTTATTGAATTTTAACGTCTTTCTTTTTATTTTTCGAATGGCCATTGGCACGTGTTTTAGATCTACTGGTCAAAAGAAAGTCAAAAGTCACAAACTCAGTTTTGTATTAATTGAGTTTTGCGAAAACAAATTACAGCCCAATTTAATACAATATTGTACATTTTATTAGCTGATTAACTGATAGAGTCATATGATCATAGTTTTCAGACTGTGTTAGTTATTTAATTATGCTGATATTAGTTTTTTAATGTTCAATAAATATACTACTTAAAACTTTGCACCCTTATGATATTTCTTATATGAAATTTTTGAACTGAAATTACACTATTGCTTTGTAATGTAGCAATCTTTATTCTTTAATACTATTTTTTACTCATACTGGTTTGATATTCATATTGTCTATTTATTCATTAATAAAGATTTTGATTTAAAGCACAGTAGTTACTTATTTTTTCTGAAACATGGTTATTTTATTATTTCAAGATTCAAGTGCACAAATAGGAGTGCCAGAAAATGAAATTTAAAAATAAATAAATAAAATAAAATGTACACAGTACACAAAGGAAAAGCACATTTTTTAAAAATTTTGCTGCAAACTAAATTTAGCAAAAAATCAAAATCATGCGGAATCATCAACAAATAGTTTCCGAATTGTATTGTGTCTTCAATATGCAACTCCCGGAGCAGGGTATTATGAAGGCACCATGAATTTCTCGTCGTTTGACCCAATTTCTGGTCCAAACACATTTTCTTCTCCCCCTTCTGTTGCAGTAGCTAAGTTTAAAATTGTAGCTGTATCTATAGTAGCAATTTAAAAAAGTCATCCATTATTTTGACTATCTGACAACACCGTAAGACTTTGTTTACAAATCGTAGACAGTGTGACGCTGTAGAGGGCAGGAACACTTCCTTTCATGGTGATTGGCTGAGTGAATTCCTGTACTAATGAGAAAATCGTTCCGTGTGGACAGGCGAGCTATCTTAGATATTGTCGGCCAGCTAAGTCGGCCGAGAAAATCGCTACGTGTAGACAGGCCTTACGATTAAACTGCAGAAAAGCATTATTAGGGTTTGGTTGCATGAAATGACACAGGGTTATTTATATTCTAAAGTTGATATCTTGTATGTCGGACCACTGAAAGGCTGTCGTTGCAGTTTGTGGAGGATCTACTAAATACTGTAGTGATCCTTAAATAAGCATATACACATCTAAGTACATGTAATATGGCTGCAATTATGTAGAATTTACGTTGCAATATCTTTCTTCTACATTTTGTTAAATATTCCATTTTTCAGAGTAATTAAGTGTAAATAATTTATTAATCCTAATAAAACAGCATAAAATTAATCTTACAAGTTTATTTTATTGTAACATAAACATGAACATATTTTACATGTCTTTACATAAAACACGCACATGAAACATTATTTGCACACTTTTTGAGTTTTTCGCAAGTGATGCAGATTTTTCCTACACTCCTGGAAGTCTGAAATACATTTCCTTCTAAAAACCTCTACTCTAACTTTAAACATAGGCTTTTGATATTAAAGTTAAAACAAATACAATGATAACTATAATTTTACATTGGAAATTTCTTCTAGTCATTTGACTTTTCTACCAAAATTTCATTTTTTATGCATTCAATTATGAAGAATTCAGCATGCCCTAAGCTTTCAGGATAGTTGAACTTTTATTGCATGTGTAAAGAAATGACGTAATCATTATTCCTTTAGTCAAACCTCATTCACAATTCCTACAGAAAAATCATTATTTTATTTAGAATATTCAATCATCTGCAACTGTAGCATGAAATGGTGACTATTAATATGGAAGCACTTTTGTGTTGCATTCTGTAATTACATGTGTTAAGTTTTGTGCATGTACATTTTATTATAATTGTGATTTAAGAGGATATCTGTCCACAAAAATAACTTTATTAAAGGTAAAATGACATTTTCTCTGACATCTAGCAGATTAAAAACAGATGATAACAAAAAAAAAAAAAAAAAAAAAAATCTGAAATGTTTCAGATTTTAAATTACGTCCAAAGGGGCGTTTTTTTAACATTTTGTGTGTTACCTTTCTTTATTAAATATCATGTTCCTCGCACTTAAACCATAAGATCCAGTGCAACAGCAATATCGCAAAATAGTTTTAAAACGAGCATATCTTTAGAATTTCCGATACAGAGACTCACGCGCTGGAGATAAAAATGTTTTTTCTGCACAACGTTGCCATTGCTCGCTTTGAAATCCTTGAGTTTGTTAATCAAAAATTTGTCAAAGTTTTAAAAAATAGGAAATCGATCATAAAACAAATTTCAAATTTGGTCTTCCACATGCTCATATTCGTTGGAGGATTACGTTATTCAAAATTCGATGACTCTATGTACCGTTGTTTTATCACAATACGAGAAATATACATACATTTATGCAGATTTTTCATTATTTAATTTCTTCAAATATAATGCAGGACTCTAACATTTTGTGGCAACAGTTTGAAAAGTGAACCGACATTTATGAGTCCGACGCAAAATGCCAAAACGAAACTAATAGTCCTTCGGGATTCAAATCCCTTTGGACTAAAAAAAGGGAGAATGATAATGACTTGAGTGACAAAGATGTGGAAATGAATAATAATAGCAAGTGCTTTGAAATTGTCTTACCTGAGGACAACTTTACTGATGATATTAAGATGATAATTATTACATAGGTAAAAGCTACTGCAATACCTTTAAAAATGACACAAAAATATTGCAAAGAAATTACCAGGACATAAATCAAATGCTAAGCACATTTTTGAAGAAACTTAACCTCTTAAAAAAAAAAATATATGAGCAGTATTGCAATGAAATAGTGAAATAAGCTAAAAAATACACCCAATGTAGAGATTCAATTTATAAGCCATCTCTTACAAAAGTTTATTTAAAAAGGTACTTTTCTCATTCTTTTAGTAAAAAACATATATTTTAAGTTTTATACAAAACAAGGCTTCCTTAATATAGATAAGTCAAATAAATTTATAAATTAACAATGAAACTCAATAAAATATCTTACATTAAGAAGAAACAAATAATATGGGCATATTCACTGAGGGGTATGAATAAGTTGTAAAAATACACACACAAATATATATATATATTCATACTTTTTAGGTATTCACATTTTTATTGCAAAATCCATGCAATAAACTTAGAATGCATTACAGTCAGCTAAAAAAATGCTTGATGATTCTGAAACAGTTATACTTACATGTTTTCTATAAATGAAACCAAGAGTTCCTGCAGTAAATTCGAGCAAAAGAATGAGTATGACCATTATAAAATACTGAAAAAATATGAAAACAAATGGTCAAATTAAACTAACACATACAGATATAATGTATAAAACAACAGCTATCAGTAATATAAGTAGATAGTTAAAATAATCAAGCTATAATATCATATACTATTATATTAATCAATTAAAACAACTTTATATTTAAGAAACAGCTTTCTGTGAGGTTTTTAATTCTCAGTATGAAAAAGCTGCACGCATACCTTTCAGCATACTCGCTCAGAAACACTGAAGAGAGAAATTTTAAGAAATTTATAATATTGTTGATAATAAATTTTAAAAACTACAAAATAATTTTAAAGAACAGATGTTAAAAAGAAATCATGCAAGGAAATGCAAGAGAGATACAACCTTGCTAACACACCTACATGATTGGGTAAAGTATTAAATACATACACTCAATGAATACTACTGATAATTAGTACATAAAAAGAAAAATAATTTTCTTACAATTTTTAGATAATACACCTTGGTATATTACATGCATAACATACATAAAAATACTCAACAGCATTGAAATAAAAGTAAAAAGAAATTTTTAAACAAATTAAAAATATACTGTAACAATAAAAACAGCTAAAGATCACTGAAAGGTCAGAGTTTTAATTAAGCATCTAATAGTATCTCCTCATCATAAAAAAGAAATAATGATGGGCTTCTTAAGATTAAAAATGCCAAATATTAGAAATCTTATTGAACCGAAAAAAAAATTAATGCAATCTAAAATGAAGTTGATAATACCCACCATTCTTAGAAGACATTTACTTTGAAACCAAGAGCCACAGCAGCCTAAAAATCCAAGTAAAAATGTCAGAACTCCAGCCACTATAGCCAAGCTGTCACCACTCAACATCTGGTGAGTCAAAAGCAATTTGGAATAACCTTGATATGCCAGATGTAGCCAGATGCCTACTCCTAACATACCACAACCAAGGACCTTAAATAAATACATAAATAAACAGTTATTTGTTTATGCATTTAAATCTTTATACTTTTATACTAAAAAAATTTGGTTCTTTCTAATTATCTGCCTCCCCCCTCCCGCCCAATCCTAAAACGTATTCAAAAGACAACACACTCTAGTATTATCCAAATCACCTTGTTACAAATCAGCAATCTTTTGAAGAAAAAGAATGGTAATTTCAGATCAGAGAAAGTTATTTATTTCATATCATGCATGATATTAGGTATATATTTTAATTTTAGTTCTACAAATATAGAACAGTTCTATTTAGTTCTATAAATATAACAGTTTTATAAATTATTTTCCATGATAAATATCATGGATTTATTTATAAAACTGCTTGTAAATAGGTTTTTATTCTTTTCCTTCTGGCGGAAATTACATAGCGGATATCTTTAAGAATAGGTTTGAAGCAATGAAAAACCACTCATTAATTCCTTATTCCAGCAGTATATAAATCTGCCTGTAAATGGCAGATGACTGTTCTCGAACCAATTACCACTTCTGGTAAAAATATATTTTAAGGTGCTGATTCGCAAAAATTGGCCAGCAAAGTACAGTTTTATGATGGGCAATACACAAAACCAAAATAGCAAATCAAAGAATTGCCCAAACTTGGTGTCCATGTACAGGGATAAATAGAAAGGGCTAGCTCATTTCTTTGTTCGACTCCTCGCCAATGCGAGCCTAATGGGGGGACTTAACAGGCAGTAATCTGACGTCACTGTGATGCCACCTGTTCTGATTTCCTGCATTTAAAACTGTAGTTTCATTCAGCTGCAAGACGATTTTCTAGAGATTACATATCCCAACTTAATTTTAATCATATATATATCTGTTTTCTAATAATGTATATATTTAAAATAATTTATATATATGTAATTTTAGTCAGTTTTTATTTAAAATTTTATATTGTAAAGTACCGTTTACGTAATATGGCTTTTTGCGCTGTAGTAACGTGCCATAGCACTTAAGAAGTACGAAAGGATGAGATATTTTATTTCATGGGACCAAAGGATCCAAATGAGATTTTGCTTTTGACGAAAGAATGGATACACAAATGTCAAAGACAAGATTCTATTAATGTGAAGAGCGGAAAAATCTGCAGCGAACATTTTCTATGCAGTGTTTATGAAGATGATATGAAAAATCGCTTGTTTGGATAGCCACAAAAAGAAACTGTTGAAATAGAATGCTGTGCCGAAAGTAAATTATGATGACAATAATAAATCGAAATTGATGATGATGACAATAATAAATCAAATTTTAATGATTTTGAAATAAAACTCACAAATGAAAATGTAGATATTCCTGAATGTTTTTTTTTTTTTTTTTTTTTTTTTTTTTTTTTTTTTTCCCTGAATATTTAAGGATAAACAAGAATACATTGATAATTTGAAGAACAAAATAATATCCTTAGAAAATTGTATTAAAGTATTGAAAAATAGAGAAAAGAAAAATTTTAGAATGTTTGTTCAGTGGCAAAGAAGGTGGATGACATATAGACAGAAATTGGTATCAGAAATTAAAATCTCGAAATTTTTTTTTCGGGGGGGGGGGGGGGGGAAGCACAAATCCGAGAATATGAAAAAATGTCTAAAGCCTATTTTTATAAAGACGCAGATTAATGTACTACTGAAAAAGAAGGAAAAAATCAGGTGGACTAGTGAAGATATTTCACGTTGCATTGTCATAAGAGCTCTGTCATCTTAAAGCTATGATTTTGGGAAAGAAAAAAAAATTAAGAAAAAAATTGGAATATCTTTACCTAGTATTAGCAAATTAAAGAAATGAACACGCTAAATTTTAGTGTAGTCCAAGAATTCAAAGTGATGTTCTTACTCTAAAAAAGGAAAGAGGCGAATATTTGTATTCTGTAGAAAAAATATGCGTTCTCAGTTTCAACGAAATGCATATAGATTAAAAGCTCTGCTATGACTCTAAACTGGACCAAGTTCTCGGTTCTTTTCAAAATGTGCAGTTTGTTTTAATCAGAGGTCTCATTTCGCGCTCTGCCTCAAATTACTGAGAAACCACGTTTTAGATAAAGGATTTGTGTTAGAAGATGGAAATGTTTTAAATTTTGATATTATTAAAGAGGTTTTAAATAGAGATTGAGAAGAATCTATGAGTTAATCGATAATATCTTCGGTATTATGAATAGTACCAACATAGTACTAACAAGAATAACAAGTATTTAACAAACTAATTTTGTTAAGTACTTGTTAAAGTTGTTCTTATTGTATCCTTTGTAACTAATTATTGATTAGATTTTGTGCTAGATTAGCATTCTAGATAAAATATAATAGTATAAAACATCAAAATAATTGGCATAAAAAGACTTGCTTCCTTTACTCACACTTTTGAAAAATTAAATAACTGTATTAGGTACTTTGAGTAAAGCTATTTTGTCAAAATTAAGGTAACAATCTTACATACATTTATTTAATTGTAATATATAAGTATAAATTACAGAATTATTTAAAAAATATCTATTATTATATTGAATCAGAAGAGAATTATAACAATGTAAAATTTACAATTAGGCAAAAAATCAAAGGTTAGCAGAAATGTTGCCATATATGTCATATATGTTTAAAACTATGTCAATGTAAAATTGTTTTTTGAGTAAATTTAAATAGCTGCTATTATAGTTATCTTAGAAGCAGTAAAATTCTCTCAGTTAACATGCAGATAAAGAAATGATTAGAAATAAACATGCATTAAATAAAAAACCTGCAAATAAAAATTTTAAAAAATCCACGGAACTTTATGTTAAAAGAGTAGCACATTTTATCTATTATTTTTAAATTGAGTAAGTATTATTAAATTTTTTAATGGTTCAGTCTAAAATGCATAAAGCAGTAACATTGTCTCTTCCAAATTATAGTTATCTTTCACACACACCTCATTTCAAATGCTAGTTCAAAAACGCTAATTTTCAAGCTGTGAATTGCATCTGCGCACTCAGTGTCATCACGACTCACTTTCTGCTTTAGGGAAGAAAAGCTCTATGAGCTAGCCCTTCTCTTCTCAGTCCTGGTCCATGTACACATCGGTCTATTTTCACTTAAAAAAAACATCAGAGAATTGCACAAACTCGTCATTGCACCAGTTTTTCCATTGCTGGTAAATTCCACAAGATCATATTTTAAAACTAAGGCAAAATATATCATAGTTTGTTTATAAAAACCACTGGAATTTGAAATACAACAAAAAGTACTCATACAAAAATGACGGCGTTTCTTGACTGAAGAATTGTTATGAGCATGATTGCCAGACAAATGGTTATGTGTATGGTTGCCAGAGTTTGGAACATTCTGAATATTTGCTGACTTCTACTAAGGTGATTGCACTAATACATACACAGGTACCCAGTTATCAATATTGATTAGTTGAATGAATAATCAAAACATCTATTTTCTTATTTTATTTATTTATTTTTTATTGTGGGCACTAGCCATTTTTAGGCTTTTGCCAGTACTAAGGCCAAAATGGGTGGTCATTTAATTATGAAAGCACCTAATAGGTAGCTACCATTACCTCCTATTACAGACAATTTACATCTATGCCTTCTCCGAGATTCAAACCGGAACCCTTTAGTACTGCAGCTGGTTCTCCTAACTACTATATAGTCTCTGTTTTCTAATGAAACTCAATATTTAAGCAATTATATTTCAATTATCTCACTGAATAATCAGGTCTTGAAGAAAAAATTGTGAACAGGGATCAGGTTATTGTTATTTAATAATGCAAATTACTAAAATCTGAACAGGAATTAGTAAGAGATTTATTCTTTATTAAATATTTATTAAACTTATTAAATATACCTTAATATTTCAAACTAAACTCATTTACTTCAGTAATCGGTAAATAAAATAGTAACATTCATTAACTAATCTTAGATACTTACCCAGAATAACAAATTCACACAGCATAATGCTTGACGAATACAACTCAAACTTGACATAGCTAAGTAAAAAGGATCTAATTATAGAAAATAAAAAATATATCAATAAAAACTAACATCATCATCTTCAAAAATATACACAGAAAATAAAATGTATCAAATATTTATCTGAATCCTACTGAAGTTCAGAAATTTAAACCTTTTAAAATAAGACAGACATTGCTGTGACAGAAGACTAATGTTAGTTCTAAAGAATTCAGATTGACCTTGGATTAACTATATAACAAAGGTCTTTTGAAAATCTCCTTAATTTATAAGGTTTAAAAATATAATCTAAACATAACATTACATAAACATCTATATATAAATTTCATTTCCCTAAAAATTTCATTCATTCAACTTTCATAAAATGTTACTAAAATGCCAGTATTTTATACAAGAATTAAAAAAAAAAAAAAAAAAATTCTTTTTCTTAAGCTCAAATATTTTTTAACTTAAGCTCATGTGAGGAAAAATCTGGTAAACAATTAATTGAAAATAATAAAAAAGAACCTTATAAATTTATTTATTTATTTTTACTAATGAACTATGGCATAGTTTAATAACTCAGCTTTCTATTCACAATCTTTTACAGATAGACATTGCAAAGCACTTCTTTTCTACATACTTGCAATTATTTATTCCATTAAACTGATTCATAATAATAGTTTATTTATATTTAAAACGGTTGATCTTTACAATATGGTAACTGGTAGTTTGGCGACATTTTGGAGGCGATAAAGGTTACTACCTGGGACTTTGGTACTCAGTTCCGATTACGCATTATTTTGCGTGAGGGAAATGAGAGATCATGGGATATGTCATGTGATATTAATGGATGAATTACGGTTCTTTAAACGGAAAAGGGGGGAAATCGGGAAAAAATGTGGAAATTTTGTATTTAGCTTTATTCTGTGTTGTGTGAAACAGTGTTGTTTAATTTTTGGATCCCACGGCCCTAACTAAAGTAAATTCGAAATGGGTATTTAGGCATTGTGATAAAGAGAAGTTTGCTTTTTATTTAGCGGAGGAAGTATGGAGGAAAAATTCGCAGAAAAAAATCTTTCAATAATTTTATTGAATGAATTAGAAAAGTGTATCCGCCACGTAATCAAGATTCTGAAGAAGATTAGGTAAGTTAGTATTTTTAATTATTTGAGGATATTATTTTTATGCATTGCTCTAAATGTAAGGTGGAAAGGAATTTGGTATTATTGGGAAAATTGTTATTAGCAATGATTTAGTTTAAAGTAATTAGGATTGTAAGGTAATTTTTATTAATTTAATGTATGTGCTCATTTATATTTTAAGTAGTGTTTTTGAATTTAATTATATTTTAATGAAATGATAGTTATTTTGTGAATTTTATGTTTGTAGGAATTTGGTATACGTTTTAGTTGAAGTAAACGTGCATGGAAATAATTTAAATATTTGATACTAAGTATTTGTAATGCTTGAGAGGTATGAATTCGTTGGTGACGTGTATAATGTAATAGATGATTTAGAGGTAAAAGTTTTTGGATATTTTATTTATTTTATATGTGGAAATGTTCATATTTGTAAAGGGTAAATACTTTTTCGCGATCAGGTAATTTCATATATGTTCTTTTTACCGGATTTAAAGATTGAGAAAATTGTCATGTATTTTCGTGAAATTTTTCTAATTTATGAGAAAAAAGCAGTGTACATGGATATAGTGAAGAGTGTGCGCGATGCCATTTTTGTGCAATTCTGGGATGTTTTTTTAAGTAAAAATAAGTCGGTGGTGTATGTACATGGTTTATGCGTATGTGTTATTTTGAAAAACGTGTAAGGAGTATGGTATTGTGCACTTTTTCCCAATTTTGCAGTGAATATTTGTCATGATTAAGCAGTTTTGTTTGATAAAATTTCTAGCATAAGTGTAATTCGGCTAGTAGATTGTTGGAAGAAGTGTTCAGTAGATAAAAAGAAAAGAAACATGTCTTTACTTCGTCAAGACAAAATGGCGGCGGGGAAAAAAAAAATAGAGGGTTGCTGTAGGAGAGTTGGTTGCCAAATTTTCGCCAAAAAATCGCCAAGTTACCATAATGTAAAGATCAACCTTAAAACTATTTAATTACAAATTAAAACAAAAATTTTCAATAAAGTGGATGCTTTTTATATAACTGAAAAATCTTTGATTAATTTTACTAAAATGTAAAGAGGAAATGCTTTCTGCACATTCCTTACTCAATCACACAGATTTTGATTACAGAGAGGTATATAAGTAATACATTGCCTTGTATTTCAATCCTATTTTTGTAGCGTGAAAAATTAGATCAATAGAACTGCTTCAAGCACTAATGAATTTTTAAAAGATTGAAGCATATGGAATAAACACTGCACCTATTTTGAATTTAATAACATTTGTTCCCTTGTTATAGAATGAAGCTCCGGTAGCATTACAAACTCATAAGCGAATATGGACATATCAAAGGAATTTGATTCTATAGATAATTATATTCATACTTAGCATAAAGTTACTTCCATTTATAACTAACTTAATACCTTTATATCTTCTATTTATAACCAACTTTATATTTAGTAAGAGAATAAGAATACAGCACTTTCATCACACACTTATCCATATACTTCTCGCCTGGATTTTACTGCAAATTTTGCTTATTTCTTCCCCATATTTATCATGTTGGATGGGAACATATAACAGAGCTAGTGTTTTAACATAAATGATAAAGTTTTTTTTTTATAACCACTGTTCTATTAATATGTATGTTATTTCCTAAAACTGAAGAAATTTGCTATCTCTTTTGATGAATGTTTGTATTTAACTAAGCCTATGCTAAATATAAAAATAATTATTATTTAAAAATTATACAGTCAAAAGTCGTTAATCCGGACTCGTCGGGACTTCGGTGATTCCGGATTATCGATTTTTCCAGATTATAGATCATCAGTTTAAATCTGGTAAGATGGCATGCAGAAATTACAAAATTAAAAATATGAAACCGTAATTTATGAAATAAAGAACAATTATGATCTAAAGGGTATCAAAATTTACAAAAAGAAAAAGCTTAATATTTATTTGTTTACTTTATTAAACATTTCCTTCAATGTAAGTTGCTTCGTTTCATGTGATAATACTTTCTCTTTAATTCTATTAAACAGACATAATTTCTTGTTCAGTTAGAAAGTTCCATTGTTCAAGTTCTATAATTGCTGTGTCGAGAATACCGACTAATTTGTCAATCGAAATGTTTTCGTTTTCAATAACCTCTGGGTCACTTTCTTCACTATCGGAAGCGAATTATAATGACGAGGAACTTGATTTAAATCAAAGACCGAGTACATCGAGATGAAATACTACACTTAGTACGGAATTATAAACCAAATAAAATAAAAACATCTGCCCTGAAGATAAGGATAGTGCTGACAGATCAACTTCCAATTCCCCACGTGAAATTGATAAACAGATTTCGGATTTCAAAACATACTTTCGCTTTGTAGATACAAATTACATATTAGTAAATATATATCGGAAATTCTATTTGACATAATCTTTCTAATTTATTATAATCTAATAATGAGGTTTCTGCCCCCCCCCTCTGCCGCACAGCAGCGTGAAATTGATAAACAGATTTCAGATTTCAAAACATACTTTCGCTTTGTAGTAAATATATATCGGAAATTCTATTTGACATAATCGAAAGTTCAAGCTTACTTTTATAAAATTGCTCTAACAGTCTGCAAAAAATAATAAGACGGATCCAATTCGAAGATTAAGGAACAACGCAATCTGCAACATTAACTGAAATTAACTGAATTAGATAACTTTAGCTTAGCGTATAACTCCGTTACACATTAAACGTGCATGCGCACAAACATATTCGCAGCCGTAAGGGTCTTACGCGCTTTCGTAAACGCCCGTGCGCATGCGTGAACGTGACTCATGTGCAGAAAGTTTGTAGCTTTGAGGTCCGGATTATAGATCATTCCGGATTATGGGTGTCCGAATTAACGACTTTTGACTGTATTATTCAATAAAATGTAATGAAACCTCAGAATTTATGGTTTTAGATATTTATCATGAACATTTAAAAAATTTCTGGCTTTCACTTAATACATTCTCTTTAATAAGCACTAGTTTGATATTCTTTATTCAATAATTAAATAATAATAATAAAAAAAAAAAACAAGAAAACTCACTCTTAATACTGCAATATAAAAGACTAGGACATCATCATGTCTTTTTCATGAGCACCAAGTTCCACTTAAATAACAAATAAAAACTGGAAGTAAAGCAAGATCTTATTAATAAATACTAGAACGGCTTTAATTATTCTATTCAAGAGCATAGAATACATATATAACAAAAAAATAATCTTTTTAGAGAATGATTAGCATAAGAACTAATCATTAGTATAGTTAGAAGAGTATAAGAACAAAATTTTATTCTACATTCAAGATTATACATGTTCTTATCTCTTGTAACAGTGTTCTTCAAAGTAAGTATTCTGAATAAAAAGTACATTACTGTATTTTCTCAATTGTTGTTTTTGTTTATTGAATCTAACCTTGTTGTTGCTTACTGAACCTAAAATTTCTTACACTTCGAAAATTTTTATCACAGTTGAAATATGCTAATGACAAAATTATATTTTCTCATTGAATGTATCAGGTTGATGCATGCATCTTTTTGAAGAAAACCGTTTCACACGTGTTGTCCTATGATAGAAAAGAGCTTCAAATTTTCTCATAAAGTTCAAAATGTGGAAGTTTTGTTAATGCATTTACAGACGTTTTCTAACGGATTACATGTGAAATTTGTACTAGTCCTAATACAAATATTTTACTTAAATGCTAAAATGCAATTGAAAGAATTTTACAAGTTTACTAGAAAAACAGCTAATATTATTAATCAACATAAAATTAAAACTTCTTAAAAATTTAGCATAAAAAATACACTCTTTTGCAAAAAAATCGAAGCACCATGAAGGAAGTGGTTGTTTTTGATGAAACTGAATATGTGTATAGCTCATACACAGCTAATAAAATGCTTAAAAAATCAAGGTCATAGTACCTGCTCACGGCTCACAATCACTCATTGAGTTTTCAAATTAGTAGTTGGTCAAACCGCCCCTGGCAACAAAGTATACTTGAATTCATCGAGGTAAGGAGTGGTAGAGGTTCCTAATGTCATCCTGTGACACATTCTGCTAGGCATTCATCAGTTGTCGCTCCAGATCTGCAAAATTTTGTGGTGCCCGAATCTGGCGGCCCACCATATCCCAGACATGCTCGATTGGTGAAAGGTCTGGTGACCTTGCTGGCCAAGGAAAAATATCAACCGCATGGAGACAGTCTAGAGATATGCGAGTAGTATGTGGTCTGGCATTAACTTCTTGGAAAATGGCCCCAGGATGGCGTGCCATGAATAGTAATGTAACCGGCCACAGAAAGGTATCAACATATCGTTGAGCTGTTAAAAATGTACAAAGGATGACTAAAGATGACCTACTGTCATAAGAAATAGCACCCCACACCATCACACCAGGGGTTATGGCTGTATGCCTTTGTAAAACGAAGGCTGATTGGGACCGCCAACCGTGTTCTCTCCAGACATGAACACGGTGGTCATCTGCTGGCAGTCTGATGGCAGCCATGATGATCAGTTGCAACACCACTCCAGATGACTCCGCCCATTTTGTGAGGTCAAATGCAAACGTCTAAAAGGCCTCTGTGAGCGTAATCCCACCTCAGACAAGCGCTGTAAGATGGTGGACGGTATACGGGAAGTATAGACATGGCTGTAGTGAGTTGAATAGTCGACAATACTGTTGTAGAGGTTCGGGCCTCGCGAATAATCATCTTATCTTGCCTCGTATTTGTGCTCCTTTGCATTCCAGAGCCTTCATTTTGTCGGCAATTTTCTTATAGCAACCATTGCTACCAACATCTTAGCACAGCAGTGTCAATATGCTGCAGGTGGCGACCTATTACTCGGTATGACCACCAGCTTCACACAACCCTACAATGCAGCCACGTTCGAAGTTATTTAGGTGTCTGTAAGATCTTCGAATATCGTAGTAATGGCATCTTTACGGAAATACAATGGCAGCAACAGAAAATATAAATTTTCCGCCTCTGTTACTGATTTTATACTTTGCGAATTGCGCACTAGAAATGTGCGCTATGATCCCAATTCCTGTTCATTTGCCTTGAAACTTTGATCATTTGCATGTTCGATCAAGATGTTTTTGCATACCAAATTTCATCACAATTGCAAATTTCCTTCTAGGTGCTTCGATGTTTTGGCAAAAGAGCATAAATATCATATTGCAGAAGAAATCCAAGTATCATACTGTGCAAGTAATACCATACTAATTCTGGAAGAGTAAGAAGGCTGAATAAAACTAGTGTTCATATAGAGTTATAGCAAGAAGCACTTAAAAAAAAAAGTTAGGTGTTGAAATCCTGTTCTTATATAAGGGTTAGCAATGCTACATCAGGCATCAGAATTTAAGGATGGAAAAATTTTTAGAATTTAGGGATAGCCTGAGAGGTGGAATTAATAAGTTGCACAGATTGCACCAGGCAGAAGTAAAATGCCTAGCACCAGCCATGTTTACTCACAACTATGCACAAATTGATATTGATCTTATACTTTCAAAACTTTCTTATTAAAGCAGCCACTAGATATACTTTGGTGAAATTTGGCCAGATTCAAAATTAATTTGGCGAAAATTAGAAAATACTACAGCAACCTTAAGAAAATGAAAAATCACAATGTGTGTCAGGGAAAAGATAATATTTTTTATCTTTGTGGAAGCCATAATTAGTTTCTGTTTTTACATTAATCAAATATTTTCTCTTGTCTTACATAATGCTATCATATAAATTCTAAATTTGAATCCAGTGCTCACAAACTATTCTTCTGCATGTTGTGTTTCGTTATAATTGTTTTCTGTGTTTTTTTGCCAGATGCTAGATCTACAAAGTTGTACTTATGATTCACTGTAAGTTGTTGAAAAGCTGGCCTTAACTAATGCTCCACATTGAAGCTTGCCAGCAATCCAAATACAGTCAAAAGTCGTTAATCCGGACTCGTCGGGACTTCGGCGATTCCGGATTATCGATTTTTCCGGATTATAGATCATCAGTTTAAATCTCGTAAGATGGCATGCAGAAATTCTAAAATTAAAAATATTAAACCGTAATTTATGAAATAAAGAACAATTATGATCTAAAGGGTATCAAAATTTACAAAAAAAAAAAAAAAAAAAAAAAAAAAAAAGCTTAATATTTATTTGTTTACTTTATTAAACATTTCTTTCAATGTAAGTTGTTTAAGTTGCTTCGTTTTATGTGATAATACTTTCTCTTTAATTCTATAAACAGACATAATTTCTTGTTCAGTTACAAAGTTCCGCTGTTCAAGTCCCGTTAATTGCTGTGCCGAGAATACCGACTAACTTGTCAATCGAAATTTTTTCGTTTTCACTAACATCTCTGTCACATTCTTCATGTCTTTATCCATTTTTTGCACCAATTTCACTTTTTGTTTGTTGGACATCAAAACATACTTTCGTTTTGTAGATCCTTTGGAAGTTCCAGCATCGGAAATTCTATTTGACATAATCGAAAGTTCAAGTTTACTTTTATAAAATTGCTCTTAGAGTCTGCAAAAAATAATAAGCGGGATCCAATTCGAAGATTAAGGAACAACGCAATCATTAACTGAAATAGATAATTAGATAATTTTAGCTTACACTGTCCGTTATACATTAAACGCGCAGGCGAAAACGTATTCTGCACTTGCACACACGCATATGCGCAGTAGTGTAGTCAAGGTCTTACACGCACGCGTAAAACGCCTGTGCAGAAAGTTTTTAGCTTTGAGGTCCGGATTATAGGTGTCCGAATTAACGACTTTTGACTGTATACTGTATTTCCCTCAAGTATATGTTCTTTTACTATCTCCGTTAGAATTTTAGTACCTATCTGACATTTACAAAAATCATTTGTCCCCTACTCCAGATTCCTCCTTAAACCCATTGTTATGCTTCACTTTCTTGACATCTACCTTGAAGATTTTTTCAGGAGCATAAATTTTACCTTTCAAGTGTTTGATCAAAAACAAGTTATAAACTCTTCTCATATAACTGCTCCAATCAATAACTATGTTTTTATTCACATTTAACTGTCTGTTGAACCATCTGATGAACGTTCTTTAGCTCAATAGTATAGGAAGTACAAAACATTAAGAAAAAGATTCCTGGAACTGTGAAATCAAGGTAATCACACAGTATTCAATCTATCACTTTTAGGTGGTTACTTATTGTTTAGATAGAGGCACTAAAAATAATTCGTTTTAATCATTTCTTTCTCATGTTATTTTTATCAATGTTTGAAATTAAAAACAGCATTTTAATAGTGTCATCTACAAAACAAAAAAACTAATTAAAAGTGATACCAAATGATTACCACAACCAATTACTGGTACGAAGACCACCTTTTTTTCCCGTAACTTTTCACATTCTATCCTCAAATACTTTGCTTACTAATAAATATTTTCATTTGGAGGTCAATTTCTCACTTTTGCACAGCATGCAAAACTTCTGTTCTCAGGAAAAGAATTACTGCTTTTTTTTTAGTTAATGGGAAGTTAAATATAAATAGCATTTTAGAGGGGGGAAAGGCTACGAAAGAATGAACAATGCCATGAAGAATCACAATTACTGGACAGCTGAAAGTGGTCAACATTATGAGAAACTAATTAATGAAAGAACAATATTCTAAAGTGAGTATGAAAATCAAATATGTTGAAAGTTACAAATATCACAAAAAATTATAATTTCTTTTCTAGCTGATTAAGCTAACAATTGTACACGTTGTACAGGAAAAAGAAACTCTGAATCAATACATCTTGCAGAAAATATTGTAATAAAAACAGACTGAAAACCAAATCAATTGCAGGTTAAAAATACAAGAATTAAATCTGGCAACTGACTGAAGTGGGCCCTGCTTTGATGAAAAAGGTACAATTAATCTGCATAATTTTCTATATGTACAAATGATTACAATTAAAATATAGATGCACTTTCAAAGTAAAATCAGATATATAAAAATGAAAATTTAGACACTGATAAAAACAGTATTGTTATACATGATTATTATCTTTTATCCACAATAAAACCACGTTTTTTAAATTCGTGCAGAATTGAGATTGATAGTCCCTTATTGAAGAAAATACCACAGTTTGTCACCAAAATTACAGAACTTCATTGCTTACTTTTAAATATGAAAAAATTCAAATGTTGCTAAAAGATTATGTTATAAATGCTTTAATAAAGAAGCACTCAGAAATCTTATACTGTTCCACTATTCTTGATTACTACTTAGAGACATCTTTGAAAATCATTTAAGTGAATGATTAGCTTTGCCAGCAATCATAGTTGTATTAAAAAAAAAAAAAAAAAAAAAAAAAAAAGGATGGGGAATGGAAAGTTACCTCAACGGCAGCCCCAGCATTAAAGTATTTAGTGAGTGAATTTAACTAACGACTAAAAAACAAAAAGTTCACAAAGAAAATTTACTCTTCTGAAAAGGAGGAAAGGCTAAATTAAAGTAAAATATGCATTTAACAGTATTTCATTTTTATTTACTGTTTTGGGCTGACAATTAATTTGTATATATATTTTTTAAATTATGATAACCTCACTTTATTTGTATTACACTATACACTCATATTATATAATTTATTAAATGTTTATGACACTAAATTTTTAATACATACATTGAAATTCATAATATTGAACTAAACATATTTGTCTACGTTTAATTACTTTTCTAAGAGCACTTAACGATAAGATTTATTTTATTTTGTCATTATGTTATCAGTATTTCTGCGTATTTAACAACCAACAAAAGTTCAATTAGTTTTCACAATTAAAACGCAAATTTAAAATCTTACTTGATACATGTTAATATATTAGAATCTATAATACTAAATTTGATCCAGCCTGCTGCATTACATGTCTTTTTTTTAAGAAAAAAAAGTCTTACACTATGCATTATCTCAACGCAGTAAAATACTGATTCGTTTAAAATATATTAATCCTGAATGAAAGATTTTTTACATGCCAATGAAGTAGAGATTTGAAGAATTACAAAAATATATTAAATAACAAATAAAGGATTTACGTACTAAAGAAAAAACTGAAATCAAAACAAACAAAAATGCAAACTATTTTGATTGATGCCATTTCTTTAAAAATAATGTGGTGTTATCTATCACATTTACTTTGGTTTAACTGGCACATTCCGCTTGAAAATTAAAAATAGGCTGGATAGAATTTTATCATCAATAAATTTGCTATTTAATATGAGAAATTAAGCAAAAGTATATTTTACAAATAATATTGTTACCAGGTGTTGGTTACAGAGTTGCTGTGCGTAGAATGGCAACCGCAAGTAATGGAAGTGTAAATGAATTTTCTAGTTCTCGTTAAGTATGCTTAAGCATACGTAAACGTAGCCAATGAATTTGAAACATTGTAATATATTTTTAATGCATTTCATGGAGATTGAAGCTATATGTCATATTTTTTTAGATCTAAGGTACAATAGATATAATTCCTGAAATCAAGAATTTTAAGAATAACTTGATTACTTCACATGAATACATAATCATTCATATGTTAGATGGATTTTAAAGAACTGTTAGATGTTGCTGATTATAATAGAGAAGAGGCAAAACATGAGGTAAAAAATTTATATTTTACTTGAACTCTGGAGACAATGCTTTTCTAAAGTGAAGAATTGTGTTATGTAATTATACCTTGAAAACTTTTAAATCGGCCACAATTATGTCATTACATGTGTCAGATTTTTAGCCAAAATCTGTAATATTCCACTAACAAAACGGTATTTTTAGTTCTACAGATTTTAAAATAATTCATTTTGAATGATGAATTTGCTTTTCAAGTTAAATTAAATTAATAACATTAGATACAGATTTGGAAAAGGGTTTTGGTGACGTCTGATGTGCCTAATTATTTTAACGATGTAGGAATGCTTGCAGGTAGAACTTATTAAAATTCTTCGATTTTACGCACTCTTTCATCCAACGCGATACTGAAATAAAGAGATTAAAAGGAAACGTGAATTTTAAAAGGTCATTCTTTTTCGTGCATATTTCTTCAGCTTAAAGTATTCTCTGCTAAACTATTTTTCCTTCCGAGAATCTGGAGGAAGAAGTGAGAGAAAGAAAATCTTGAAAAAAAATATTGTTCGAAGGTGCGATATGGAGTTTAAATACAATGGAAAATGTAATTTCAGGCATAAGCATTAATAGTAACTTAAATGAGATTTGGAAGAGTTGGCTCAAGCTTTTCGATTTGAGAATTTAAGATCTCATTCATAGTCTTTCAGACCTTAATATTTGATAAGTAATCATGTAGGGAAAAGTGAAGGTAGGTGGGGACTAGTATAAGGTATTTTATGTTAATTAACCAATTATGGAAAAGTGCAGAATCACCCACTGCTTGGCACGTTTTTAAGAATTGCACATACTTGGTATCCATGTACACATCGGCCTATTTTCACTTAAAAAAATATTCCAGAATTGCACAAAAAATGGCATTGCGCACTCCCTCGACTTTATCCATGTACACATTGACCTATTTTCACTTAAAAAGTCAAAGAAAATTGACAAAAATCCAATTCTTCTTACTCTTGTAAAAAGTGCCAAACAAATAAGTAGGTGATTCTGCACTTTACCCCTAATAATTGTGATTTAAACCTTTACTATAACTTCTTTGCTTGGTCCGTATCAAAATGCAAATTAATTGTAGAATATGAATGTTTTTAACGTTAAAACGTTTGGCAATGTCACATGCAATTTACATCTTATCACCAGCTCTGCCTGTTCTGGCTTTCTAGCTATTTTTTCTAACCAGTGTTAAAATGGGCTGTTAAATCGTTTGAGCCAGCTTAAGTAGATCATTTTGCGTAATCTCTGACTATGTTGAGAGTTGTTAATTGAGTTGAATTTCAAATTATATTATCTTAAATATTTGCATGTGATGGAGGTTATTTGTATGCACAAGTGGTTCATTCTTTTTAATTTAAAGTTTTAATAAAAAGGTAATTTAAACCTTCTTAGGACTTTGTTATAACTTATTTTGAATGATGTATTTATGCTGTCTTAAGTTTTAATACACTTTGGAAAATCTGTCGGATGTGCATTACAGTTGTAAAAATTATTTTATCATTTGTGCAGATTACTGCAAAAGACTTATGGCAATGTTTTATCGCTATTAGACTCCATCAGAAGGTCAATAGAAAGGCCTAAGAATCACAAACTTCTAACGATTGTTCAAAATGCTATTAATTAAAAATGCCAGATATCAACCATGTACAGGCAGACAAAGGTGAGAAGTAAGAAGTAAGTCTTGACCAAAAAAGCTCCAAGTTCTTATCCTCAGGCTTAGCAAGCATGTATGTATGTTGCCACTCTCTGCAATGAAGATTTCCAGGATAGACTTAAAAATGGGTCATGTACTGTTTTTGAAATTATGCTTCCCTTTCTTTTTAATTATGTGTGATGCATTCATTGTCTTCAATAAATTTAAAAGTGTGATATATTTATTCAAAGGACATTGTATTTTGATTTTTAGGGGAAAATAAGTTTAAAGCATTTATAAGGCAATATTCACAGATGCTTAAATTTGTTTCCTTATAATTTTTGTAGTGATTGTATGTTTGAGTAGAAGATCTCATTATTCCAACTGAAGAATCTGAAAGTTTTCTTCTGTCAGTTAAATAATGATAAAGAACAGATGTAATAGAAATTTTAAATCTAATATGTTATAGAATGATTGGTTAATTAATTAAATGTGTGCAGACAAGGATTTTTTTCCTGGGGGGAGAACATTTTGAAATACTTTATAAGGGAACTTTGCTTTTTTTTAATATATATATTACATTTGAAGGAACCTGTAAAAAACTGATATAACAAGCTTGTTTAGAAAATTAACTTCTAGCAATACATGTGCCAATATTAGCTTTGGATAGCTAAATGAAAATATATGTTATGTACAAATGATGTAGTAATCCTTTTAAAAATTTCTTCTTGGATATTGTGTACTCTTCTACACTACTTTAAATGTAAATACCTAGAACTGACAAGCAACCTTGTTCCATCCTACTCTTAAACTGCAGTAAACAGAAAGTCAGATAAAGATTTAAAATAAACCTTGTTTATTAATATGTCAGTCTGCTATATAGTAAAAAAAAATTAAAAGGCCAATACCCGTGAGAAAATGGCTAATAAATGTTTCAGTTAAAGTTTCAAATGCAAAATAACACGTACCTAAATATGTTTTGGCTCAGCCCAAATATTTAAATAAGATAATACAGCTAGTGAAGTTAAAGCTGGCAAAAACTTCAGTGGTGGGAAAATGTAACAGAGGAACCAGTCAGTGATAGTTGCAAAAGACGCAAACTTTAAGAACTATGTGCTTATTTGTATCAACAAATTTGTATCTTGATGGGAGTTGACAAAGGTAGACTTGATAGTACATGTAAAATAGTAAGATAACTGTATTAATTAACACAAAATTTTACAGGGATGTATAATTTATATATGAAACAAGTAATAATGTTTAAAATAAAGTATTTTTATTTGTCATTTGTGTAGAGTAAGTTACACTAAGATTTATCAGAGGCTGAAACGATAAAAGTATATTTTAGGGTACCCCTTGGCGAAACTTGGTGATTTTTGGCTGTAAATGGATACCGAGTTTGTGCAATTCTTTGACTTATTATTTTGGCTTGCATAATGGCGATTTTTGCGATTTGTGTAGCGCCAAAAATTGCCGCTACACAAAGCCAAAATAACAAGACAAAAGAATTGCACAAACTCGGGGTAAAAGTATAGTTTAGAGTACCCCTTGGCGATTTTTGGCTATACATGGATATTGATTTTGTGCAATTCTTTGACTCTTTATTTTGGCTTGCGAAGAGGCAATTTTTGCGCCAAAAATCGCCACTACACAAAGCCAAAATAAAAGACAAACAATCAATTGCACAAACTCGGTATCCATGTACACATCAACTTATTTTCACTTAAAAAAAAAAAACCTCAAATAGCACAAAAATGGCATTGCACACTCCTTTGACTTTATCCATGTACACATCGACCTATTTTCACTTAATCCCGAATTGCACAAAATTGGCATTGCGAACTCTTTTAACTTTATCCATGTACATGTCGACCTATTTTCACTTAAAAAAAAAAAAAAAAAAAAAAAAAAAAAAAAAACAGAATTGCACAAACTTGCATTGCGCACTCCCTTTACTTTGTCCATGTACACATCGATATATTTTCACTTAAAAAGCCAAAGGAGCACCAAAGTCTACAATATAGGCAAACAAAAAATACATAATCTCAATAAAATAAATTTTAAACCAAACAATAAAATAACATAAAAAAGGAAAAAGATGTTATACATTTAAGCACTACAAAAAGCAAATATTCACTTACCCTATTTAGAAGTTCCTTCGTCTTTTGTCTGTGGCACAAAAAATTTCTTAACAACATCCAAAAATTTCCTGAAATTATCTGAATCTTCCTTCCTACAAACCCATTCAAATCCATCTAACTGGTTTTTACGTCGACTAGATGCATATCCTTTCTACATACAGGACACTTATAATGGCTACTAAGTAAACCTTCATTTACACACCAGTCAATTAACACTCTTTTCGTTCCAAATCATACAGAAACTTCAAATTAATCTTACTACATTCTACCGTCTAAACAATAAACCAACACACACCACAAAAGCACTTCTGAACATCCCATGATTCAAAATTTCCCAGAATCATGCACCCGATTACCTCACAATAGGGTTTCCATAACATTCAACTACTCAGGCTACCATAAATGAAACAACAACTTGGCGATAAATGAAACAACAACTTCGCCATAATACAAGGGGTACCTTAAAGTCTACTCTAACCACTGAAACTATAGAATACTGGCTTAAGTTCTTAGTGGCTGCATAGCTTTTGTAATTTCCTACATTTATAACATAAATGTAAGCTGGTTGTCTTGATGAAATCCTTTAAATAGGTATTCAAAGCTTATCAGATATTATTAGAATGTGATAGTGCAGTGGTAGTAGTATTGGTTCTGTTAGTACTTTTCCTTCAGAAAGGCTTTCAAAAAGAAATACTGCCTAAACACATTTGAAGGAATTCCAGTATAACTAACAATTGTAATATTTCACTTTTTGATCTGTAACACTGATAGTTTGAATGGATAAATAAACACTTAAATTCATGTATTTGTAATCTGAAAATATATTAGAATTACAATTGTGTAATTAATATATTTCGAATGATGAAATATGCATGATTGAACTGTCTGAGAACGATATAAAGCTGTCAGAAGATATCTGTTATATAGTCAAAGTAATCTTCCATGTTTTCCATGGCATTTTTGTCTTTACAATTGGTATTTTTGGCAGGACATTGGATTATAAAGAAATTACCAGTAGCATGCTGGGCCACAGTGTCATCAATAAATTCTTTTGTGGCCAAAACATAATCAAGATCACTGCTACTGTGTTGCTACTGTCTCTAATAAAATATTTTTATCTCATTGGAACTTCAACCCCTCGCCAAGCCTGTGACAAAACAGGTGCAAACAGCATGGTCATGCCTGGTGTCAGAATTTAGGGGTAGAAAAAATTTTAGAATTTAGAGGAGCACCAAGTTGAAAAAATTAGAGATGGCAGAATTTTTAAAATTTAGGAGAGGCACTGAGGGGGGGGGCAAAATTTTTAGAATTTAGTGAGGTACTAGGCAGCAGAATTTATCTACACTTTGCAGCAAAATGCCCTGCACACGCTACAACTACTGAAAATATAATCTTGGTCAACATCAATACAACTTCAATCAATGCATTGTTGTTGGTCATGGTGCAGCTTCCTAGCCAGCAGATGTTTGAAAGTGGTGGTCTCAGAACCTTAGTCAGTGTAGAGAAAAATACAATACACCTTCCTTTTGTTATCATATTCTCCATTCTTAAAACTTTCTAAAGGGGGATTTATTATTATTGTTATTTTGGGAGGAGGGCTGTGTCCAGATTTCAGACTTTATGTATATTTTCTAAAACAATTATTTTAAGTGGCTGACCTTGCAAGCATTTAGTCCAAATAAAAACTGCTTATTAAATATTCTGTTTAAATACTGTTGATATGGGAAATTGCCCTGAAAATAATTACCAGAGCCATATGGTATAAACTTTTCTAACCTCTTAGTCATCACACCCGTCTCTAATACAGGCAACCGGATCGAGTAAATTCTGTTTCGCCTGTCTCTCACACAGGCTGTGCATTTGCAATAAAAAGTTATGGGAATTCTAATTTTTATCATGCCCATATCAATTTTATTTACAAAGTAGATTCACAGATGGCAGCACAGTATTTGTAATTTGATTATACAGGAGTAGTATGCAGATTTAGGAAAAAAATTTAGTTAGAACATATTTTGAAAAAATTCAGTTTCTGTGCTCATTATATTTTTGTGTTTTTTATTTGAAAAATGAGTAGATCAACTGAACAAGAGGATTTAAGTCTCAAAGAATCGAGAGCTGATTCAGAAGGCAGCTTTTTAGATGCTTTTGATTCTGAAGTATAATAATTTGAAGACCATGATAATAGGTATAATCCTGCGTAACTTTTACTTGGGCACCAATGGAACGAAATTTTACCAGATGTCCTAGATATTTGTCCTCCTTGTTTTCAGTTCAAACACTACTTTTCTCTTCTCTTCGGTATTCCAGTCGATATCTAAAACTTGTATCACAATTTTGAATTCAACACCCTCTTTTTTCAAAATATTTTTGAGTGTTTGTGAATTTGTGGTCCACTGTGCTAATGGTAAACTTAATAAGAAACGTTAAACATTGTTTTTCATAATGAGAAGTCATAGTCTTCTCGCCTTATGAAGTAGATGGACTGCTGAAGTTATGATATTTACTTATTTTAGTAATTGTTCATAATTTCATCTCAGTCATTTACATAGATCATCATGACATGAATAGGTATTACTTAAGCTAATTTAATAAATATTGCTAAGTTTTGAAGCGTAAGTAATAGCTAATATAAACAGTTGCTGTATTTAATTTCGCTTTCAAAAATATTTTATGCTTTTGAGTAAAAATTGGAATTCATTATTGAATACTGTTTTATTGAATTTGCTCATTATTCTACATTTCAGACCTCTGTCAAAAGATACAGTACTCTTCTGCCTCCACCAAAAAAGGTTCCCAAGTCTGGAGTTCAGTCTGATAATATTAGAAGGTTTTTGGAAAAGAAAAAAGCAGAAGAAGAGGCCAAAGGTAATATTCCTCTCCCGTGTTTGTTTATTGATCATTTTAGAATAACTATACTTTTGTTATTTATGTGAGTATTATTTTTAATCTTTGTCAAAGATGCAACTTAAAGTAGTAGTTTGCCACTTGAAAGGACATGGACTGTACAACAGAGACATACTACAGGGACTGTACAGCAGGGAGAAATATATTTCATACAAGAACTACCTTAATTGTCATGTATAATTTTTTATCTCATATATAAATGTTGGTGAAATGTTAGGCCAGTGCCACAGCTGGAGTAATTAGTATTGATGCTATCCTAGAAATATAAAGCCTTAAAATGACAAAAATGATGGACAAGAAATTTGAAATGAAAAGAATAAACACATTTTAGTTAAAGAAAATACTAATTAAAATATTCTCTTAATTAAAATTCTAGGGAAGACTTTTAATAATTTATTCAACTTAATTTTCTTTAGTTTGTGATTATTCATACCCTCAATTTCAATCTTCTGCAGAATTGCCACGTTTTTGGTGTATTTCCGAGTTCACATACAAGAGCAGCCAACCCATGCAAGTGGATATCTTGCGTATGGATTTATACACTTTATTTTGGGTTATTTTGAAAGGTCTGTGGTTTTTTTGCACAGACAATTGAATGACAAAACCAAATGAAGCAGTACAAAGGCATAAGAGAATTTCATTGAATCGCATAAACACCGTTTTGTTCTGTGCCATTTTCCTCTGTCTCCGGTAGCTGGAAAATTCTTTCTTTAAAAAAGAAGTTATCAAGATGCCATTTAACTATCTCCAAAGATTTTAATTCCAGGCTGTTCAAAAAATTTTAAAGTAATCTGAAGGGATGAAAATTCGACAGGCCCAGTTGTAGTGAATGTGTGTGTAAGGGGGGAGGCAGCAGAAAACATCCCAAAGCATACTCATTATGACAGTACAATTTAATCTTCTAATATCACTTTCTGATTATCTGCACCCATGTTCTCAGCATTTGGCAAGCATAAGATGAAAGTTCCCCCCTTTAATAGTAGCATATATTTGTTTTAAAAAGAAGTGAGAATCAGTGTGCACGATGAAAGCAATTAGCAAATTTTCAGGAAACTAATGCTTCCAGCTTTTAATTCTGAGTATTGAGTTAAAAAACAAAATCAGTGTCTTCGCTGGCAGTGTTACCTTAATTATTCCATGTTAAAATGAGAAGCTCACATTTCTTTCCTCATTTCTTTATCATTACGTATAGAGACCCATTGAAGAATCACAATCACTGTTTTTCATACGAAAAATTTTTAATATATTCTTCTGAACAGTTTATATCCTTCCTTTTTACTGTGTATCTCATTTTTTAAAACATATTTAATTTTTTTAAATATCCTGTAGTCTGCAGAATGATGAAAAAAAAATTGCTAGATAAGATGCTACAGAGGGATCTTTATACAATACATCTATGTTGTATCCAGCGGTTGAAGTAACATAGGAGAGGAAATCATTTACGGCTAATTATACTACTAACAACCTTTGTTGTAATACCCCTTTAGTGCAGGAGAGTTGGCAGGCACGAGAACGTGTGAGTCATCGAGAGATCAAGCATAACTCTTGGAATTCTTTCCACTTATGCGCTAAAGGCTATTTCATTAATAAGAGACAGCTGAACATTCCGGTCACTTCAGAAGGTGCGCCATGAGCTTAGCAGCACGTGAACAAAGGGAAATAGCATTTCATCTGTTGTCTAAATAAGTATTTGTATTTTCTACAGTTGGTGTGCAGTTTGAAATGAAAATAATTAAAAAATTGAAGTTTCCACTAGAGTTTACCAAACATATTTGGATTGCCATGCCTTGTTTGTATCTTGATAAAGCCCTCTGCCTCTTTTGAATATATATATTCATACACAGAGTTTATTAAATACCATATGAAGAAGTTATTTGTAGGCAGAAGGTTTTGCAAAGAATACTATGTTATCTTCAAAACAGAATTTAATTAAAATAGTTGTCAAAATTTTATGAAGATTATTTAAAATTTTTTATTGTGTAAAATGTTCTATGGCATTCTTTCTTTCCTTTTCTGGATGCATGTTGATATTCTTTCATACAATATGGGGCACTGAACAAACACTTCTTATGAGATAATTAAACAAAGTTATCATACTACTGAATTTGAACTTAACGTAATCGCTTATACAGGTTAACAACTTTTCTACACATTTCAAAACCCCAATCTAGCCATTGTTTCTGTTTCCTTTTCCTTGTTTCACTATTTGCAACTACTTTGTTTTGACTCACTGCATCGCCTGTCTTGGTCTGAAATAAACCTGTAAATTTATTAGTCCAAAGGGGCAATTTGTCCTGAAGGACCATTAATTTCTTTTTGGCATTTTGCATCGAAAACTTTAAAAGGCTATATCACTTTTCAAATTGTTGCCACCATATATTATCGCCCTGTCTTATATTTAAAGAAATTAAATAATTGAGAATCTGCATAAATGTATGTATGTTTCTCGCATTATGATAAAAGAACGGTACCTAAAGCTGTCAAAATTTGAATAATGTAATCTTTCATAGAATATGGGCATGTGGAAGCCCTAATTGGAATTTGTAATTTGTTTTATTATCGATTTCAGATTTTGTAACACTTCAACAAATTTTTGATTAAAAAACTAAACTATTTCAGAGTGAGTAGTGACAGCACTGTGCGAAAAAAAAAACATTTTTATCTCAAGCACGCGAGACTCTGTATCGGAAATTCTAAAGAAATGCTCTCATTTTAAAATTAATTTGCGATATTGCTGTTGAACTGAATTTTATAGTTTGAGTACGTAGACATGATATTTAATAAATAAAGGTAACACACAAAATGTTAAGAAAAAGCCCCTTTGGACATAATTTAAAATCTGAAACCTTTCAGTTTTTTTTTTCCCCCCCCTCAATTCGCACTTCATGTTTTCTTCATTTATATTTTCCAATCATAAACACCACAAGTTATTTCAAAGAAGCCCAATATTGTTTTCTTCATTTAAACAACCTGATTAGTTTCAGGATTCATTTTTTTCCAGCCATGTAATGTTTTAGGATCTACATTTTAGGCTGTGATTCAATTCATCAAGTATATGAGTTTCTTCTAAAAAAATGTAAACTTTTTGCCTTTGTTAATAATTTGAGGAGATTTGCTTTTTGAGGGACAGTGAACGAATAATTTGTAAAATCGATGTTTCGCACACTGATAATCAAGAATTCGGCGTAATGTTCTTTGATGAAAGAATGTTACTTTCATGTAATATGCTAATGTTCTTAGGTTAATTACTTTTAATCATATATAATATTATTGCCAGTACTCCTCATTTCCTGAAAACTGACATCTGCTGCTACCTTTTTAACACCTGATATCAGCTAGATAATTCAGACACGACCGAAAGGAGAAATATTGTCATTTCTAAAACGTATGGTTTACAGCTTTGTTTAAATATTCAAATTTTCCAATTTTAGTAAGTGTTATGACATAATAATGTATTAAAGTAAAATAAAATTTTGAAGGATGGTGTAATTTCAGCCACCTGGTATTTTTAATGCAGAATTTGAACAAAAAGAGAGGGTTGTTTATTTAAGCAGTACTAAGCAACAAACAATAAAATTGTATTATTCTATATTAGTTTTAATCATTTCTTATGAACTGATCCTACTCATTTTTAACATCAGTGTTGTAGTTTTCTGATACTTCTCAAAAATAAAGAAAGGAAGTCATAATACAGGTGTTGAGAAGGCCACAGTATTTGATCAAGAAGGCAAAACTCCCACATTATACAGGTGAAAGAAGATATCATAAATTCAAATTTTGTTGCTGAGAAGGGAAAATATCTGGTTGTAATGAAAGTTTTTCGCTAAAATACGTTCTTAATAAAGTTAGGGAAAAAAACGTGAAAGTAGTACCTTTAGTGTGGGTAGTACTCAACTAAAATCTATAATTTTCTGCTAGTGTTTTGGCAGTTTTTCAAAGTCTTCAGATCAAAAACTTCGTGACCACGAGTCCAAAAACAAATTAACCTCATTTCGGACATCTTACGCAGAATGGAAGATAGCAAGAGCAAGATGTGGCTGCAGGTGTGAAAAAAGGTAGAAGTCCGAAGGAGCGATGTCGGGTCTGTATGGTGGGTGTGGCAATATATCCCATTCGAGTCTGTACAAAGTCTAGCCAATGAATGCAGACACATGTGGTCTTGCATTATCGTGATGGAATATTACCTTTTTGCGCCTTAACTCAGTTCGACGTTTTCCCTTGATAGCAGCAGCAGCACAGACTAGCATCTCACTGTACACTTTGCTGTCTAAGGTTTTACCTTTTTTCATGTAATCTTTGCGGATAACACCACAGCAATCCCACCAGATACAAAGCATGATCTTTTTGTTAGTCAAATTGTGCTTTGCGATGCTGCTGATGGGCTCACCGGGCTCAGACTAACACCTTTTCACCCTGTGTTATTGAAGCAGATCCACTTTTCATCACAAATGATGATCTAGTTCAGAATTTTGTCCTTGCATTAATATTCAAGCAGATTAGTGCAGGTCCGAACATGTCTACCCTTATCTGTATAAGTCAGTTCATGCGGAACCCAGCAATTGATCTTGTACATCAAGATTATGCAACGTATAGCATGACTAATGGTCTTGTCACTAATGTCTAAGTCCTTAGTAAGCTCTCGAGGGGTTGCATACAGAACTTCTTTCACAAGTTCTCGCAGATGGCCTCATCAACTAGGTCGGCTAGAGCACTCTGCTTCTTAAGTGCCATAGTCATTGTTTTTGAACTTTTGGTAACAAACTTTCACTGTGTCATATGATACAACATTAGTTCCTAAAGCTATACATATGATTTGGTAGCATTCTATAGCTTTTTGCTGCAGAACTGGAAGTAAATGATGGTTCTAATCTGGTAGCATGATAATTCCATTTCAGACACCTTGTACTTAATGATAACAATATTTTTTTACAAATTTCACAACACAGTGTTTTGAACCAAGTCTGTTTCCTTCAAATACCAAAAATCATTTGACAAAATATGATTAAACATGGCAGCACGAACTGTTCATGCAGATATTTGCAGTGGCAGGGAACTTTAAAACCCGGTATTTTGAATCTGAGGAACATGATTTTTAAAATTAAGTAATTTTTTTGATTCTATAAGTTTCAGACAGTGTATTTTCAGAATTGTGCTACATGCATTTATTTACCAAATTTCTAAACTTTTAGATCGTTAAGAGAAATTAACAAATTTTTCTGAAACATGTTTTAATCTAACGAATTAAATTTAAAAATTTGTCTTTAAATATAAAAATTATGCAAATTTGCTTTTCAATTTAATGCATTTAAAGAATAAAACTAATTTATGTAAATAACAAAATGTGCATATGAATATGAGGAAGTGAAAAAAATAAGTGGTATACAAATAAATGAAATTGGTAGGATGATTGAAAGTACTGTACTTTTGTCCAAATCTGCTTTTGGAAATCTGTTTCATTGATTCCCCATTGCTACCAGTTCCCCGACAAATGGCCATACCACTGTCTTTCTTTATCTTTCTCTCATTGACAATGTCTGCTACTTGTACATTAATCTGAAAAAATATACAAAATTAAATTTAGAATTGTATATAGCCTCTGAAAGAATAATGGTGGTATATATAACATCTACAGCTTTGAAAACATTTTTTGGAATTGGAAATAATATGTGATTGATTTTTTAATGAATGGTTTAAAAAATAATTGTGAAATCCTCATTAAAGCAATCATTCAAGATTCTGTATCTTTTTAATCTTGTGTGGATTCAGTCATCTTGAATAATGATTAAAACCTATGTTTATTTCTGTTCTCAGAAATGCTGGTCAGGGAGATACCACCATTTCTGAGAGAGTTCACAATTGTATGTTATTTCTTTTTTTTTTTTTTAATGCATTTAAATTTTCTGTGTCTAATTTTAATTTTGAATCATCCAGTGACTGATGCAAAAAATGAACTAGTTTCCATTAACATTTCCTGCTGAATTGGCCACAAGTGCCCTAGTAGTAAAGTTGTTGAACACTGAAATTTTGACCCAGCGAATGAGCTTGTTGCATGACATTTTTGTGATTTTCCTCATGTGTAACATGGATATGTGGTAGTTAATAAGAAAGTATTCTACAAAGCCTCCCTCCCCTTACATCGTTTGACATTCGTTAGCCCTAGTATGCTTCAGCATAATCCAATAAATTCAAATCCCCTGCTGAAATATTACGTAGCTGGCTTTTGTCATAACTAGCCAACCTACATCCAAATGATTGACTGCACGCTGTACATGAAAATGTTAATGACACTTTAAGAATAAATGGAAACAAAACAAGACATAAATACTAAAAGAATATCAGATTAACAGATGTGAAAAAAAATTGATAATTAATTAAACAATTTTTCTGGAGGGAATCTCATGCACTTCCTTTTTCTAAACTTTTTTAGACTGTATTGTTCATGAAAATTATCAGCAGAACTTTATAAGAAAAGATTTAATTTTTTATGGTCTTTTATTGACTTTGCAAGTTTAAAATTCTATTAAATTCTTTTTTGAAAATTTGAGTTGCATTCATTTTCTACTCATTTTCAGTTTTTAAATGCTCAAGTTCCCTTCTTATTTTTTCAATAAAAAGATTAGTTACTTCAAAATTATGAGATATAAAATTTAAAATATTCCTTTTTCCACTCATAAATAATTATGCAAATATACATTTACAACTTTTAAAGCCTGAAAAATGCATGTCTGGAATGTTATCATTGTGCGATAATTTGTAGGTGATTTATTTTTCACCACGATATTTTCGATGACAATGTTTTTTAAACTGCAAAAGGCTTCAGATCCAAGTATATTGGCATATTCCTATACCACTACTCATGTCGTTGGCAGCAGCATCTTCAAACTTTCTCTTACTTTTCCAAAATAAAGTAATGAAGTATTAATATATTCCAGACTGAAAGAAAGGACAGCACTTGCTACTGGGTGTCTACCCAGCAAGGAACTGCAATAGCCAAGTCTTGCAGTGGTTGTCATGGCCTTGGTGATTAACAATTTTGATTTTGAGAATTTAAAAGTAGAGCAGTATTGTTCCAGTCAGAAAGGACATTTATTTTCCGTAATTGTTGCTTATGTTTTTTGTATTGGTTCTAGTCCATTATCATTTACTCTTTACTTCTCTCACAAAGTTGCAGTATAATTTGTGATGGGTATTATAAAGATTCGCAGTAAAATTTTTTGTTTCTCAGAAAATGCTTCATTTTATTATTATTTATGAGCAGAACAATGTATATGAGCTATAAAGGTAGCCCCCCCCCAAAAAAAAGGATTTCTCAGTAGCTCATAAAGTTGCCAATTAGTCAACAACTTTGCGTAGGAGTGTTGATTGTCAGAAAGTACCCTTTTAATATATTTTCTTTCTTTTCTTTTTAACCTTCCCAGATAAAATATTGCCATTTTAAAGTCCAAATAACAAAGATATATAAGAATAACCTTTGCCAACAAATTCAAAAATCAATCAATAAATAAAATAAATTTCTGCAGATAGCATTCCCAAAAAAGTAGAGGGGATTTAGCATTCTCTTAAGTGACACATCATCACCGGGAACCCAAGGATCAAATTCTGGTTCTTGGCAATAATTGCATTAGAATTTTCCTGTACTGCTCTTCAAAAATACATTCCTTTCATATTCATCTTTCTCTTAACTTCTTTAGACATAATGTTTTATTTAAAAAAAAAAAGAAAGAAAGAAAAAGAAAAATTCTCTGTGATAAAGAATTAACAAAACTTCGTTAAAAAAATCTGCTCAGTTGACAAAATTTAATTCATAAAGCCCACTTAATGTGAAATTAATTTTTAAAAATAGATTATAATGCTATTTTATCAATTTGTTTTCTCATTTTTTGGAGAGTGTTGTTATGCACACTGATGATATAACTGTAATCTTTATGATCATCATCATTATTATGTTTTTGTCATAATTTAGTAATTCATATAACATACATGGAATTCATATAACATACATAACATACTATTTTTCTTTGTGTGACAGTAATAGGAATATTTCTTGTCTAGTTTTTTTTCAAGTGATAGAAAAAATACCGACTTTTATTCTTAATGAAAATTTTATATTCTTGATAAATATGTAATAAATTAATCAGTTCTGACTTTAATATGTAATTTTGTCTCTCAGACTATTGATTCATTTGTGTAGTTTTCAGTTTATAAATAAATAACTGAATTATGAGTATCATTGCTGGCTTTTTACATTTTCTTTTTATATGACAATTTCTTTTTTTTATTAGCTGCTGAAGCACAGAAACAAAAGGAACAGCTACTAGCACTTAGAGCACAAAATTCAAAAAACAGTAAAAAGGCCAAAATCATGGCATCACGTACTAAAGATAATGATTTTAGTAAGATAAAATTAACTGAAGATGAAATTGAAGCCAAAAAGAAGAGAGAAGCCGAGCTTCAAAGGCAGCATTTGGCAAATAAAGTGGAGCGTATGAAAGCTCGTATTGAAATGGAAGAAAGAGAAAAATTGATGCCAAGGAAAAGAAAACGGAAATCTAAAAACCCTGAGGTAACTGAGGTAGATGAGGACCCATGTTTAGATGAAAAATATCAAAATGGACATAGAGATTCATCTGAATCCACTTTAAAATATCATGATAGAATTTCATCTAATAAATTCAGCTCTGAAAAAAATAATGCAGTTAAAAGACTTTCAAGACCTCCTGCTCCTGCTATGAGTTTTGCTGATTTGTTAAAAGTTGCTGAAAAGAAGCAATACGAACCTATTGAAATACCAGTGAAGAAAAAAGAAGAAGAACGGCTTATGACAAAAAAGGAACGGAAACTTATGGAACTTGAATTAGCAAAACAAAAAAGAAGGCAGGAAATGTTAAATAAGGGCATACAACCTACAATATATGGTAATAGTCAGCAGTCATCTGTTACACCTAAAAATAACTCATCTGGAAAAGGTAGCACAAAGAGTCCAGTTGTGATACATATTGAAAAGGATCCAGGTTCAAAATCATTACCTGAACCACCAAAATTTAAAAATCCTAAAAGTGTTAAGGAGGCTCAAAGTATGAAACATATTTCAAATACAAAACCAGTTAATCAAAATATAAATAAAATCCAATCATCTATGAAAACAAATTCTGCTGTATCACACGAGAAAAATCACAAAGTATCAGTTTCACAAAAAGCATCATCAACTATAGTATCAAACTCTCAGAAGATACTTTCAAATTCAATACCAAATGTACAGAAAACATCATCTAATACAGTAGCAAATTTACAGAAGAGTCCGTCAAATGTGATAAACTCCCAAAAGTCAACATCAAAGCAGTATAGTCAATCTCCTGTACGAGAAAAGAATATAGATATTAAAAAGAAAATTATACTTCAGAAGAAGAACAGCACAAAAATAGCTCCTATTTCTTCTTCACCTGTAAAACAAACTGTGCCAGTGCCAACAATTGATACAGATGCTATTGCAAAAGGTATTGAACAAAGGTTGCGAGAACAATTAGAACAGAAGATAAAAAAAGAATTGGAAGAAAAATTTGCTGCTCAATTTGGTTTAAATGTAAATAAAGACATCTCAGAGAATCAACCTGTAAAGAATATGGTGAGTGATAAGAAAGCATCTGAAAAATGCAAGCCTTCAAATGAGTCTAAAAAGATACAGATGCCTGTAAATGGTAAAACTGTTCCAAAAGTGCAAACTAATAGGCCTTTAGCATCTAAAGCAGGAATGGAAACGAGCAGCATGAAGCAAAAGGCTTCGTCTCAAAAAGGTCTTGAAAAGAAACCGTTTCATAAAAATCCATATTTGGATCCACCAAGAAGGTTGTTAGAGCCTCAGAGACCTCCAAGTAAGTGGGAGAATTCCAGCTACCTCAATTAATTACCTGTTAATTCCTGTTACCTGTCATTGCTAAAATACTTCCTTGTTTAAACTGCTGTTTTAGATCCACTTGCATGCATAATTATAAATGAAAACACAGTAATTAAAAATTTAAGTAAAAGAAATGTAGAAATATATAACAATTTGGAATTTATGTTGTTAGAAATATTTTGAGGAGGTTATTTTGCTATCAGTGGCTGTTTTAACTTATCAAAACATATCATTAGGGAAATTAATGGTCGTAAACTCTGATGTATTCTTTTCAACTCCCATTGTTTGAATATAGGTTCTGAATTCGAGTTGCAGTTGAATGTGAGACTCAACATTGTAATACATAAAATATATATGTGAATAATTTTCTGAATTTAATTTTAATTGCTTCTTATTTTTTATTTCGTTATTTGCATTAAGCCATTAAAAAATAGTAAAAATTGAATGTGGTGATTCTGTCATTCTTTTAATTTTTTTTGGGAGGGTTGTGATGAAGCTGCCTTTGAGAGTCAAAATAGAGGGATATTTTGAGGGATTTTTTTTTTTTTATAATTTTCTATTGTTTTGAAGAAAGTATGCTCCTCAGTTTCTGTTATTAAAAATATTTTTATTGTTCATAAAGTGTGCTGGAAATGGGAACTGAGGTTGAAACTGAAGTTTGAATTATTAGTTATGTAGTTTAAATTATATTCAAAGTTTTGAAGTAACATCTGTATTTTTGAAAAATCTTAAAAGGGTTACAGGATTGCTTAAATTTTGAATTTGTAAAAAGAAATAATTTGTTGCAAGATAAAGGTTTTTTTTACTGTCAGTTTTTATTCTAATAATTTAGCTAATTATGTACTTAATCTGTCTTAAAATTTGAAGATTCCAGCACATTGAAAGAGAGTGAAGCATGTTATTATGAAATATTTTTTATTTTATTACAGTTTTAAAACTTTAAAGTATTATTGTTTATTTAAATTTATCTTTTAGAGCCTCCACCGAAGAGAAGAATTGAAAGTGATGATGAAGATGATGATGATGATATGAGTGATTTCATAGATGATGGGCCTTCCCAAAATGATGAAAATTATTCTGAATACATAAAAGAGATATTTGGCTATGATCGCAATAGGTACTGTATCTTAGTGTAATTATCTTGAAAATTATTGTAAAAGCAGAAATGTTTTACATGGTGTTTACTTTCTGCTGTTGTTTTTAAAGCATTATAATTGGTTTGCTGAAGCCATATCATAATATAACTATTACTTTAATTAAAATGCAATTACCTAATTTAGGTTTGAAAACCTTGATCATCTAGGTAGCAGTTTGTCTTCTGGATCATTAATTTTTATTTTTAAGAAATTAAACTATATAAATTTTTTAAATGATGCATAAAATACCAAACTTTTAAATAATAAAAATTTTAATTTAAAAAGTAGTTTATGTTAGCCATAAAAACAATCTGAAGTTCTGTCTGCTTATTTTATGGAACTTTACTTTGGCTGCAGAAACACTGAAAATTAAAAATTTCTTGAACTTATGGATTGATCTTATAGAAAATCAAATTTTAAATGTAGTAGCTGAGAAATTTATGCACATTAAGGTTGTTAGACTTAAAGCAACTTTACAAATATTATCAAAAGCTATCTATCCTCCCCTTTTTTTTAATGCTTTGATATTCCCTTCTGAGTAATGCATGTCATTGATGTTGAAAATTGTCATGCATTTGCTGATCAATTGATTCATTTGCTGAATTCTAAAGCATTTTGTTCATGAAATTTAGATGTTTATACTGTGTGTATATTGCTGATAGATGGTTACTAGTTCTTCATTGTAATATGCCCACCGACATTTTATTTTCTTACAAGAGATATTTTAATTACCTACCTTACATATAATTTGATAATTATTTTTATTATACTTATTGAAAATTATGTTATAGTTTATTTTATATTTGACAAATGTTATATACATGTGGCTTATTATGTTAATGTAATGCATATATTGTTATAATTTTTGTAGGATTTTTACTAACTTCATGAAAATATTTTCCTTTATAAAACATTCTGCTGTCATCCCTGAATTATGTCTCCCAAAAGTTCTGAAAATGGTGTTTGAAGTGTTAAAAACTTAATGAACCATTAGCAATATTAAGTATGAAAGTTTTTTTCATTTTTAATTGAAAAATTATTGAGTTGAATAGTACTGGTGAAACATATTGATTATTTATAGTAATTGTAATGGTGCTGAATGTGATGAAAAAGTATTGGAGAGTATTAGACTGGAATTTATTTCTGAATTGTTCAGGGATTTGAATACATAAGTGAAGCATAAAACTGTGAATGGAGAAAGAAAAGATCGTCAAAGGTTATAGAATTTCAATAGACAAAGGTATTCTTGATGAAGTATTTTTACAAAAAAGATCTGTAGAAGATTACAAGAAGTATAGTAAAATTGAAGAAAAAATAGGAGGGGTAACCATGATAGGACTCTGGAATATTTACAAAAGCTGTTAGATGATGTGATTAAATAAACTGAGATGGAATTCAATGATATCAAAGTCTAGTGGAGTGTTTGCCATATTGCTTGATAGAATAAGAAGATAATTTTCAAAAAATAAAAATTTCATTTATTTGTGTTGTCTTTTTTTTTACTAATTTTATTGTTTGAAAATCAAGAAGGGAAAATTGTGCAAATCATGTAATTTCCAAAGGACACAGTTACAGTAAGAACAAAACAAAAGAAAATATTCTATGCAAAATTACTGGTAACAATCGCAGTATTATTTATTTAAAAGAAAACTTTCATTCCAATAAGAATACACAATAATATTAGCATAACAATATCTTACAAGGTATTTTGATTTCTACTTATTTATATCTTGAATTTCACCTACTCTTATTCTTATCTTATGCTACTCCTTAGGCATCAAGTCATTTAATGCTGCTGGAAGTAATGTCTGTGTCATTTGCTACAGCTTGCAGGTGTTACTGTTGTCATTCATTGTCTTCGGCACTGTTCAATTTGTTTTCTCACATGCAATGATCTTCAGGAATTATCAATAACATTAAGATATCCTTATTTTGTTAAAGCTCTTCACTATTATTGCTTAATCATTAAAAAAAAAAAAATTGTACCCCAAATCCAGAGGCAAATCAATTAGTAAGATGAAAACAATCACTATATTGATGAATCCATTTTTAAATTTAGACAAGCCCGCTTTCTGTTGGTCTTGAAATGGAAAGTTATGTGAAAAAATTTTGAGGACTTAGTGCTAGGGGAACTAGGATTAGGGTGACAAATGCATAAGTAAATATGGCAATACTTTCTTCAAGAATAAAAGTCTGTTCAAATTTTATTATTTGACTTAGTCCTATTTTAAAGTGTATGTTATTAAGTGTCTGGAAAGTTAATTTTTAGTACTATGAGACTTAATCATCAAACATGGTAATCTCATTTACCCAATTTGTAATACAGTCAAAAGTCGTTAATTCGGACACCCATAATCCGGACCTCAAAGCTGCAAACTTTCTGCGCATGAGTCGCGTTGTGTCGCGTTGACTTAATTCGTAAGACCTTTACGGCTGCGAATATGCGTGTGCGTATGCACAAAATACATTTATGAATGCTCGTTTAATGTATAACAGACAGTATAAGCTAAGCTAAAATTATCTAATTCAGTTAATGTTGCAGATTGCGTTGTTCCTTAATCTTTGAATTTGATCCAGCTTATTATTTTTTGCAGACTGTTAAAGCAATTTTATAAAAGTAAGCTTGAACTTTCGATTATGTCAAATAGAATTTCTGATATATATTTACTAATATGTAAAGGATCTACAAAGCGAAAGTATGTTTCGAAGTCCATTAAACAAAAAGTGGAATTGCTGCAAAAAATGGATAAAGGCATATCCCCATTCCGAAATCTGTTTATCAATTTCACGCTGTTCTGCGTGTGTGTGTGTGTTGGGGGGGGAACGTCACGGCGCACAATGAACTGGAAGTTGATCTGTCAGCACTATCCATATCTTCAGGGCAGATGTTTTTATTTTATTTGGCTTATAATTCCTTACTAAATGTAGTATTTCATCTCAATGTACTCCGTCTTTGATATGATTTAAATTAAATTCCTCGTCATTATAATTCGCTTCCGATAGCGAAGAAAGTGACACAGAGGTTATTGAAAACGAAAAAATTTCAATTGACAAATTAGTCAGTATTCTCGACACAGCAATTATAGGACTTGAACAGCGGAACTTTGTAACTGAACAAGAAATTATGTCTGTTTATAGAATTAAAGAGAAAGTATTATCACATAAAAAATGAAGCAACTTAAAGAACTTACATTGAAAGAAATGTTTAATAAAGTAAACAAATAAATATTAAGCTTTTTTTTTTTTTGTAAATTTTGATACCCTTTAGATCATAATTGTTCTTTATTTCATAAATTATGGTTTCATATATTTAATTTTATAATTTCTGCATGCCATTTTACCAGATTTAAATTGATGATCTGTAATCCGGAAAAACCGTTAATTCGGAATCGTCAAAGTCCCGACAAGTCCGGATTAACGACTTTTGACTGTAGATACCTTTCTCAAAGCTGTCAATTTTCCAGGGTTTAGTAAGAGACTCGCCGTTTTTCATCACATCTCCTGGTCTCTCAGTAGATGGAAAATATTTCCTGTCAATAAATGAGATTTATTGAATTAATGAAATTTAAAATTTGTGTTTATTCCATTTTCCCGATATTTAGTGAATTTTGACATAATTTATTTAATTTTTCTATGAATTTTTTCAATCTATTATAAACCTTTATAGAACTTTTTATAAAGATAGAATGTTATATGGTACAAGTTGATCCATACAGTATGTACATAAATTATTAGTTTTTTATTTTCGTCATATTAGAAGTATTTTGATGAATAAGAGCTTTCCTTCCCTGCTCAGTATTTTTCTTATAACAAAATGTAAGGACTTACAAAATTAAATAAACCAAAAGACATAATTTAAAATATCTAATTAAATATAAATATACTTTATATCGAGATAATAGTATGAATAGTTCAGTAACCTGTTTCATGCATTCTAAAATAAATTTAAGTTCGATTTCTGTGTGAAAAATCTTCCAGTTTTTCATATTTTAAGGCTGGAAGCTATGCTATCTTCATAAATATTTGAGAGTTCAGTTTCTTTCCCCCTTTCTCTCTCTCTCTCTCAAGTGCAATGCTCACTGATGTCAAAAAATAGAGCTGAACGTTTAATATTAGGTTTTCCGGAAAATTATGCAGGTTTTGCAATTATTTATCTTTCCTGTACATTTTTAGCAACAAAAATATTTTTAATTACACTGGTTTATACATCATTTTAAAGGTCTATTTTTGCTCTATATTTCTATAATAATGATTTTGTTCCAAAATTATTTAAAAAAATATTTACTAGGTGTTTTTGTTTAGATGTCGAAACAGGATTTTCTGGCCACAGTAGTAGTAGGCCACAGTGCAGCACAAACGGCTCGAAATGTCAACGAAGTATGGGGCGAGAAATGTGTTAATGAATCTACAGTTCAACGGTGGTACCAAAAGTTTTGTCATGGAGAATTTGACCTGGAAGATCAAGAGCATCATGGACGCTCTTCAGCTGTTGACAGTGATTGGAAGACTTAAGTTGTAACAAACCCATGCAAAACTGTTTGAGAGCTTGCGAAGGAGCTTGGCATAAGCAAAACAACAATTTCTGATCACTTGAATCATATAGAAAAGTCAAAGAAGCGCGAAAAGTCAGTGCCTTACGAATTGAGCAAAAATTTTAAAAATCGCCGTTTTGAAGTGTCGTCTGCTCTTTTTCTCTGCATTAAAAATGATCCTTTTCTTGATCAAATTGTTATGTGCAATGAAAAGTGGATTCTCTGTAACAACTGGTCACATTCGGCACAGTAGACGGGCCATGGTCAGAAACCACAACACTTTCCAAAACCAAATTTGCACCAAAAGAAAATTATGGTGACTGTTTGGTGGTCTGCGGCCAGTCTCATCCACCACAGCTTTCTAAATCTGGGCGAAATGATTACAGCAGATAAATACTGTTAGCAAATCAACAAAATGCACCAAAAATTGCAATACATGTGCTCGGCATTGATCAACAAAAAGCGACCAGTTCTTCTCAATGACAGTGCTCCGCTGCACGTCGTGCAACTGACCCTACAGAAATTGAACAAATTGGGATACGAGACTCTCCCTCTTCCCCCATATTCGCCTGACCTCTCGCCAACCAATTACCACTTTTTTCAAACATCTAAATAACACTCCACAGAAGAAATGCTTCAGAAAACCCAAACGAGGTCAAAAACGCCTTTGACAACTTTATCGCATCCAGAATTTTATGCTATAAGCATAAATAAAACTTATATCTTGTTGCCAAAAATGCATTGATTCGACTGGTGCTTATTTTGATTAATAAAATTGTTTTTGAATTGAGTTATGATACTTTAAAGATATAGGTTAAAAACCTGCATTATTTTCATGACAACCTAATAGTATTAAGTTATAAAATATTTTAATTCTATTCTCTCTCTCTGAAAAGAAAATTAAATGTCTGCTAAATTTAGCTGTGTACTAAATATATTTGAAATCTTTTCTGTATTTTAAATTTTATCACTTAATGTAGGTACATTGATGATGATGATGAAGATATCCCAGAGAGCAGCTTTGCTGAACAGATGAAAGAAGAAGTTAGAAGGTATGCTTTTTATTCTTGCTTCCAAATGCCTGATTACTTTCATTTTCCATAAGGTGGCATACTTGAATCTTGATTTGGATATCAAATGCATTCTCTTTGAGCTGTGGAAAATATTTAAAGTAATCATTATATTTATTTGAACTGTTGGATTTTTTGCTGCTTCAGAATTTGGTTTGATTGTTGTAAGGTATTTTAAAACATAAATGTGATTACAAGTAATATTAATATGAAATAATTCTAGATTTGTTTCACTTTTATATATTAAGATGCTATGTAAAAATAGGTATTCATACATACAAAATGTACATGTGTATGTGTATTAATTTATTAACAGGATATAAGATCTAACTGAAACTAATAACTAAGTAATAAAAGCTAATTTAGTCATTCAAATAAATTTTATTTATGGATAAATGCAGCACTAATTAAAGGGTAGTTATTTGAACTTTCAAACTTTAAATATTTCTATATTCCAAACTTACAAACAGTACAAGATATAAAGTATAAACATTGGTAAATGATTTGGAGAAGGTAAAAAGTGTAATTCAGTATTAAAAAATTAGAAAAAGTAATAGAAAAAACATTAAGTTAAAACAGGAAATTTAAATAATGAATAATATTTTTTTCTTTGAAAATAATTCATTTTTTGGCATGTGTATCATTAAATACAATTTAAGGAGACATATCGCATTGTGTTTTAAAAATAATATCTGGCAAATATTAGCCTTGACGTGATGTATTTTATGCAGGGAATTTTCCATGCTAGAATTTCGGATCATAAGTATTGAATTGCTCATCAAATATTGAAGTTGTTGCATAGTCATGGCTTATATCCATCTACCTTTCAAATTAAATACATCAAGGTTAAAAAAAAAAAAAAAAAAAAAACTGTTGTAGTTTTTAGTGATTGTGATCTGCACGTATAGAAATCATGTGATTCTAAAAATTTCCCTCTAAAAAGCATCGTTGTTTGTTACAGAAAATGTCAAATTGTTGCAACACTAGGCATGTTCCAAATGTTAAAATTTAGTACACTCACTGCATCAAAATAATTGTGCATTGATTTTCAAAGTAAAATTGAACAAGTTTCATCTTATGCTTTGTAATGAGACCCAAAAATAAATGAAGTATTATAGCTATACAATTCTAAAAAAGGGGGGAATTAATTATTTATTTAAATCATAATGCTAATTATGCATTATTTATTGGATTGATGTTTAATGTTTGGCAAACAAAATATCTAATCATGATTAATACTTTCCCCAAAGTATTAAATAGTACATTAAAAGTATTGTTTATGAATTCATTGTTTTCTAACTAACAGAGAACAATAACATTTTTAGTGAATTTAAAAGCATGAAAAAATATGATTTACTGTTCTAAGAAGTTTCCTTTTAAATCAGCTAAAACTCTGTCCATATTTTGCTTAATTAAATAATAGAATTCATTAATTATTCTGCATTTCTTTGTTGAAAATTGTTGTCCTATTTTTGTTCAGCAGTAAGCATTCTGTAATATTCATGCAAAGTTGTTATTTCATGTTTTTGGACAATCCAAACTTTTAAATTCTGCATTCAGATTCTTTAAATTTATTCATAAATATGTTTTGAGATATCAGATTGTTTTTGAATGAAATGTAAATGAATAAAATGTGTGTGATAGCTGAATGAAAATGTCATGATAGGTTAACTAAAGTGTAGATTTTCAGGATAAAAATTGGTTTATTTATTATTTTTAAGAAATGAAATACGTTAATTTGCATTCACAGTTGACTGATATTAAAAATAACATTTTTACTGATATTAAAAACAACAACTTACAATATATGCTTTTAATAATAAAATAGTATAGCACTTAATAATTATAATAAGGAATTGGCTTTAAACAAGTACAGGGCAGTAGGTTTTAAACTTTGTTGATCTAAGGAGCCCTTTCACATGATTATATGATACACATTATGACCCCCTGGTCTATTATTTATAGTTCTAGATAATTTGATTATTGTGCATGCAAATCCTTTAAGTTGCAGTTGTAAAGCTAAAATTCTAAACTTTAAAATACTAAACGTATAATTTTTCAGGACATATGTAATTCACATAAAATTATTTGAAACACTGTAATATATAAAGATGAAGCAATATATAATGATGAAAGTATATATATTTAGAAATTCTTTCTCATATTTATATATTTTGGTAATTTTTTCCTCTTCTTGTTTTCTTTATTTTTTACCAAAAGTGCGAAACTTGGTTATCTTGAAGATCTAGAAGAAGAACGAAAGCTGCAAGAAATGGAAAGGAGGAAGAAGAAAAAGTTAAAAAAATAACCCTAGTGAAAATTTTGCACATTCTTATTCCTATGGAATATGAGACTATTCATTTATATATGAATATATATTTTATAATTTTGCAATTTTTGTGATCATCTCTCTGTTGAAGTTTGCTTTCATTGTGGTATTTTGAAACACCACAATTCAAGTTTATTTTTTAAATTATTACCTAGAGAATTATTTGTGTATTACTTTTGTATCCCAATTGTTCATGAAGGTGACATCGAAAATTCTTTGTGCATCACTTCTGTGGCCCAATTATTCATGACAAGAAGACTATTCCATTTTGTATATATTTGTGCATAAATATAAATATATATATATAAATAAATAATATATTTATCAAATTATTTTCTATTCTCCAATAACATCTCATTCAGCATCTGTGACCAGTAAAAGACCATACGGCATCATATGACCATATAAGAATGTGTTATCCATGTATTCAGTTTATTTTTTAAGGGATTTTTAGGATAAGTTGCATTTAACAAATTTTGTTGTTTGAATCTGTAGGTGAATCTTTTATTATTCATTTTTGAAAAGTATTTTGCACTTTTACTGAAATATTTTCTAGAGCTTTTAGAAAAGTCACATTAAAATTTTTTTTTTCTATTTTTTAATTGCAAAATGAGAGAATACAATTTCTTCATTTTAAATGCAAGCTTTCAAAATTTATATGCTATTACATAAGATTCATTTGCTAGCATGTAAGATCTAAAATGATGAATAAAATGCTAAATAATAAGAATCCTAGAGGAAGAACGAAATGCTAAATAATATAAGATCTTAGATAAAGAATAAAATGCTAAGAAAAATTTCTTCAGTGTCAAGCAACCAAAACTTTTTGTGATTTTGCCATGAATTTGTATTGTTGGTTTGAAAAAAAAAAAAAAAAAAAAAAAAAAAAGATTTGAGAAACATAAATTTTGATGGCTTTTGACCAAAAAAGAAATAATAATAAAATATATGATGTTCAGTGTGATTGAAATTAGTATTAAATGAAATCCATTCGAGCTAATGGCTGTTTTAAGAAATTAACTGTTTTTGAATTACTTGGTTTCTACCAAATGTTAATTCTTCTTAATGAAACATATCTTGGTGCTACTTGGCCATGTATTTTTATGTGTTTATGAGGTATATTTATTATCATGTGATCAGTTATTTCAGAGTGCTTTTTTATGTTATTGTAAATGTGTAGTTTTTTTTTTGTGTGTGTGTGTAATTCTGTCTCTGAAATGCAAATAAGACTTATTTTTTCATGATTGTAATGTCGCAAGATAGATTAGTTCTTTCTTTTGTCTTTTAGTTTAAATGTTGACTAAATGAACATCCCTTAATGAAAAATTCTAATAATTCATATATATTTAATTGATATCACCTATAATATGTGTTCAGTTTTAAATTTAAATGAACAAAATTTTGAAATTCAGCAGGTTTAATTTAACGACAGCTTTTCTCGTATGTACATACAAAATGATTTAAAAAAAATATACTGTGGTTGTAACATATTTTGATTGAAGAGGTGATTTTGTTGAGTTTATTTATCATTTTTAATGCCTGCATAAGTGCTTTTTTTAAATATATGTATATATAATAAATGCAGATTATTAAACAGCAGATTTGTTGCTAAAACTGCAACTTAAATTAACTTTGTAGCTTTCTTTTTTCTTTTCTTTTTTCCTTTTTTTTTTTTTTTTTTTTAAACTTCATAGCATTCTTTTTCGTTCCTTTTTTTACTTTTTACAAGATGCATTAGGAGTGAATAAGGATAGGTTTTCAAAAACAGACTCTTTAACATTTTTTTGATGTCCAAAATGAGAAACTTTTGGGGTACAGAGAGCAGGGCAAGCTAAGCAGAGAAATATGTATTTTTTTAAAATCCAGTAGTTCAATTCTAGCACTTTCCATATCATTATTAATCCATTTCCCCTAGCACAATTTCATTTCTGCAAACAGTAATTTGAACCTCCCCTTAAAGCCATACAGTGGTATTTTTTGTGTTACTAGTGTCTTTAATTTATAATTTCATAACATTTGGTAAGCCAAACAATTTTTCACAGGATTAGTTTATGAGTTTTCAAAGTTTAAAATTATGTTATTTATATTCTTATGGAGTTTTATTGCTTTAAAATAATGATTCTTCATACAGAAACTCATATTTTTCATTTCTAATTAATGCAAATGATATTAAGAATTGTCTGCATACCAGTACCAGTGCCTGCCAGTGTTTTCTGGAACATAAATTGTGTAAGATTCTGTGAACATAAATTGTGTAAGATTTACGTTTAAAAAAAAAATATTTTCACCGATATTTTATCACTGTAATCTACATAGAAATGTTCATCACTTAATTTCTTAACAGCAGGAATTTTATTTTTATTTTTTATTTAAATTTTATTTTTAATTATTTGATATTTTATTTCAAGTTGATGTATACTGCACAAAGAAAAAAAGGGGGCAGTACTATACCTCCTGCTCTACTCGATTGATGAAATTCAACTTGCATTTTTTATGTCTCGAAAGCGCCACTTGGGATATGTATTAGATTTGTATACAGCATTGTTCTAATACAGGTATTTTGACAAAAAATAGGACTTTTTCTGAAATGACATGCCAGTTTTTTGCATTTTTTGATTCTACAACTCATATTATGCCAAACTACCAAGTTTTGTAAAAATCACATGAGTAGTTTTTAAAAAAATTAGCTCTCAAAATTTTAGCTCCTCAATGTTAATTGAATTTGGTATATATTTATTAATCTCTCTTTTTTTACTTCCTTGTATGAAGTGAAAAGGAAGTATTGTAATTGTGAAAAGCTTCAGGCAGCATATTTCAACGAAAATATCCACTTTTACCGCTTTCGAATGCAATTTAACGATGCTTTTGCATGATATCTGTACATAAGGACAGAATAAAAGACTCTTTTCCTCCAAAAAAACAGCTTTAAAATGAATTCTGAAGATAATTTTTCGTGGCGTCTGTATGAACGTGTGCACGTACGTACGTATCTCGCATAACTCAAGAACAAGTAGCCTCAGAACTTTGAAATTTTGTATATAAGACTACTATAACATGTAGATGTGCACCTCGTATTTTGGTTTCAATCGGCCGCGCCAAACGTATATAAATATATTTATAAATATATCCACTCTGTTACCTGGCTCAGTGATCTCAGTTTCTTTACTTTGTATGTTTGTAAATTGTACATTTTTTGCTTTAAAAATGATTGAATTATGTTGTTTTTATCTTCCGGTTAAGGGTTTTATGCCTTTAGTAAATCTGTATGCAATATTTTTATAATTATCAACAATTTTAAAATTGTTTAAGTGCCGCTAAGCCTAATTTGATGGCGGCCATTGCTCTTGTTTAAATTTGAAACAGCTGAGTAGCAATTTGTTGCCAATCTAGAGAAACTTAGCTTCGCAACAACAAAGATAACGCCTTCATTTATTATTTAATCATGCTTAATCCTTTCTGAATTTTTTGAGGAAATAAGCGTTTAAGATTTACTTCGTAATTTTGTACAGATATTTGAGTTTTTATGTATTTTTGCCTTGTCGCGAAGTGAAAACTGAATTAATTGAATGAGAAATACTCAACATCGTGAAAACTTTTCTTTTTTGTTTTGTTTTGTTAATTTCTTTATACATCGTTCTAGCTTTATTATAGTATTTGAATAGAACATGTGGCAATGATCAGATAATTCTTTAAATGATATAAGTTTTGTGTATTATGAGTTATAATATGATCAAAATATAATACTGTTAAGTAAACCTAGCGCCAGAGTGTCGCTATGGTAAACAAAGTGAAATTTAAAGAATGCATTTATTCTATTGTGGTTTATGCGCTGTGGGCGAAGTAGGTTTAATTCAATCTAATAAGTTTAAATGAAATGCAAGAAAAAATGTGTATAATTTAATATTCCATACAAGGAAGTCAATGTGGTGTACACATCAGATTTTTTTAATTAAACTGTTGTATACATTTATTAATCTCTCTTTTTTTATTAAACTTATTTGATTCTTACTTACACATTTTGAAATGCAGGTTCATTCCAAATAAACTTCACCCATTTTTTATGATTTATTTGTAAAATTTATATTTTACAATAATTTTTATACATTTTCCAAAAAAATTGTATTTTAAGCTATAAAATTTTTACCATCATCTTAAAGTAGACATATGTTTATGCATACATGCAAAAAGGTACAATTTTTTATTCAAAATTTTCTAAGATATACGTGAATTTATATATTGACGCGTTTTGAAATTTGGCATATTTGTTGAAAGCGATAAAATATGAAATGTGGTTTAGGCAATTTGTTAAAATTATTTGAAAGTAGTAACGATGTGACTTTTTTCCACTCGTGCACAATGTAAAAAGATAGGAATGAGGTGTATTCTCATTCCAGCATAATGGAAGGGAAAGGAAAATAGGTTACCATATATTAAGAAGTTCGCCAAGTGAATTATTGTTGGCGCAAACGGAAAAAATTGGGTCAAGATAAATCATTGGATTTCTCCAAAAATTTCGCACCATATTTTACAAAATTTAATATCTTGGCATAATTTGAGTTGTAAAATTGAAATATGGAAAAAAATTGGTATGTTATTTCAGAAAAAGTGCAATTTTGTGTCAAAATACTTATGTTAGAACAATGCTATATATAAATCTAATATATATCTTAAATTGCACTTTCAAAACATGAAAAATGCAACTTGAATTTTGTCAATTGGCCCAGTAGAATGGGAGATATAGAACTGTCTCATTTTTTTTTCTCGCAGTGTACACACACAAACATTTTGCTCTTCAGTTTGTATTTTGGCCCTGAATATGATATCCAGTTTTAATATCAAATATCTTGGCCAATTTTTGCTGCGCAGGTGTCGCACGTTTTCATTTTGTTTTATACAAGTGCAAAATTTGCCTAGAGACTGAAGGACCATATAAAAAGCTAGATTTTTTAATTTTTACAAAAATTGGTTTCTTTAATTTAAAAAATACCAGAGCATAATTAAATGCATCATTTAAAATATTCTCATGCATGGAAATATCTGTGATCAGCAGTTGCAAAAACAAAAGCAAGGTCAGGGCTTTTGTAGACATAGTCAGTGCAGGATTTACATATAAGCTACACAAAGCTGTATGAAGCTTGTGTAGCTTATATGTGGGGCTTATATGTAAAAGTTGTGTAGCTTTTTTGTGCCCCCCCCAAAAAATTAAAATATAGTATTATAAAGAATATAAATATATTAAAAAGAAATAAAATATAGAATTAGACTTATAAAAGGTCCCATATCTCAAATACCTTAGGTCTTTATCAAGTCTAAATCTAGGTCTAGACATGGTGTGTGTATGTATATATACACACGTACAAAATATACATGCACACACACACACACAGACATGATTACTTTGTGTCTATACTTAAAAAAAATGAATATCTCACTCTCAAACATTAACCCCTTCGAGCCGGGTAGCGAAAACGCGCGCTTATCGCGGAGGCCGGCAGTGTCTTCCGCGAGCGTCTCTCCAGGGCCGGGGTCTTTTTTGCTACTAAGCTTAATCCATGATTCCGAATTATCAAGCATTGTTTAATAATTCTATAGAGTATTTAAACGGCTTATGCTTTATAGATTTTTTATATCTATATTTAATTACCTTATTTCTTTTTAAATGCATATTTTACACACATTTTATTTTATTACTCACCATTTTATGACTTTTACATTATACATGTAAACTAAATATATTACTAAATTCTTTTTCGTATAAAAATTTTAAAACAGGGGATCACACACTGTCCTACCATTAATTCCTTGAACTCGTATAACTCATTTGCCGTTTTGGGATTTTTCCGGGAATGTGAACAAACAAGCATGTCCTCTTTTCTTACAGTCTCTTCTGAACAAAGTTTTGGTAAATGTCTTTTCGTTAATTCAGAATCAATATCTGAAATATTTTCATCATTTCTCTATTTCATGCTGTTAAACATTTCGACGCTTCGACATTGAAACGGTAAAACAGAAGAATTCACGTCTAACAGATGTAATTTTTCTAAAACTGAACTGTAAACCGAAATACTCAACGCTTTAGCTATAACTTCTACTTACATAAACAACTACACATGCGAATAAAGTGCGATTTAAAGAGACGTCATAAATCCGCCATTCGGAAACATTTAGTTCCTCGTTTGTTTATATAATCAAAACACGGTATGGAGTCATGCTTCTCTCATTTCGAGTAGAGGCCTAATGTAAGGTTCTGAAACCATATGGACAGACAGTTCCTCTCTTGTGGCAGAAATTATAGTTTGAAAAACGTTCCAAGGTACTGGCACAAATACGTGACAGTCGGTAGTAAACGCAACAATGCTCTGGCACGACTGCGTGTCGGCCGGTAGATAAGTGTTTTCGTTGCTGGGACGTATACGTGACAGTCGGCACGAAGGGGTTAAGTCTTGTCTTGGAAAAAATATGTCACAATATCTGTTTCTGTCAATTTGGTATCCATGTACAATGAGCTCATCATTCATTTTAAAATTTAGAACTGTTAATATGTATCAGTATCTTTCCTGTTAAGTTTGCCCTCTTGAAAAGTGCAATAAAATTTATTTTAATTGTAATAGCTTTTATGTATTTAA